ACAACAGAATCCAGAACAGGAAACCGTTCCAAATGCTTAGGTAGCTAATCATGCTTTAGTGACCCTTTCGACATAAACAAAAACACATACGCAAAAACAAAGCCAAGCACATAGAAAACAACAAATTGATTAATATGGCAGAAAACGTGGTTATGCATTATTTGAAGTGGGAAACCGGCGGAAGGCTTTAAGGTCCTACGAATGTTGTTTCACACGTTGTGTGGAACAGCCGGTAATCCAAACTACTTAAAATGTTTTTTTTTTCCCGTCCATTAATATCTAGGCTTTTTAGTATGTTGCTTCGATACATTCACTTTACCAACTAAAGTGAATATTTTCGATAATTTGATATTTTGAGTGTATATTTACAACCTACATTTTATCCTCTCTCTCAACCATCTCCTGCGAAAAATATTAAACCTTGGAATTTTGTTGAAGTTTGGGTTAGTTACCAGGGTCTGTTTGTTCATTTGTTTTAAGTTCAGTTGTTTTCAAGCCTTGTTGTTTTTTCTTTGGTTAAAAGCCCTGTGCAAAGCTGGTTCCTTCTCGCCAACCGGACTAGAGCCTTGTTTTGTATGTGACAAAGGGCTTTATCAGGAAATGGAGGGAGAGCGCCATTGCTTAAAATGCGGTGTCAACGAAACAACTCCTTCTGAAGGATCCAACAATTCTATGCAATGTGGAGGTATTTTAAAATTAATTCAATTTGTAAAGGAAAACCGCGTTTCGCTGAAACTGACGTACCATTTGAGTGCTGAAAAGAACCAAAAATACATTGAGAATATGCTTTCACAGCCTAAGTAACACATTAAACTATTTGACCAGGCATGAAGTACATGTACTATATCTGCGCAATAATGCAACCATCAAGTTCTTTTAGGGCTTGATATTTTACCATATAACTAAACGTATTGCCGAGGGACTGATGACTTACGACTGATGAAACGCTTTGCTAATCGATACGCTGACTGTCAAGCCAATGTTTAACTTGTACGAATTCTAATGGATCATTGGCCTGAAATGTTTTACTGATAAGATTTCCGCGAGAACAACAGAAGACGAAAGTCGACGGTCAATAATTTGGACCATTCGCCCTCAATCAGTCATACTATCCATCTTTCTGTCTGTCGGTCTGCATGTCAATTGGTCAGAACACTACAAACATTCCTTGTTAGTCATACAGTGCGCCTTCAAATCCACCCTAATGTGGGCTCACGTGAAGCTAAAGCGGGAAGGTTCACGCTATTTTACGCAAAACGTAAAAGGGACCAGCTGGACGTTTGCCGTTTCACGTAAACGCGGTGCTAAGTCTCTCTGTAAGCTAATTAAAAAAACGGCTGTGGGTCTATGTAATTACTTCTTGGCTTGCAAGAAGCAGTAACACAGCATTTTACCTATACAGATAGCGAATTCTTGTATTTATCACCAGAGTATTAATGTTTCTGTGAGTATCAACGTCCACGTGAAATTTCGCCGCATACTATGCCACCACCAGTGTCAAGTCAAAGAACGTATTTAAAGCCCCCCCCCTCCCCCCCGCAGCCGACCAGGAAAGTGGCAGAAGCCGAACTTAATATCAGCTTATCGATTTTTAGATACACTGAGCTAACCAGCCTTAGTCATCAAAACGTTTCTAAAAAACTGAATACTTCCCAAACTGAATGTTTTTGGTGAGCCTCTCGTTGGCCACAAAAATACAAATACCTGACACATATTTATCTTTAAGTTTATATGACTATGATGATTTTGTCAAACTCCTGCATAAGAATTCCCTTTTTTGTAGAGTTTTAATGGACTGTTTAGTTGGACAAGTTGCCCATGTTCAGACAGCTGCAATAATAAAATGCTTACGCTTCGCTCGCAATTTCATAATGTTCTGCCATATACCTGGATAATCTAGTTTACAGACCAAATGCTTCGGCGTGAGGAGGGAAGTAATTTAAACGTTTTCATAAGGGTACAATGGAGTTACTGCATAAGGCCAAACATCATCATTTTGTATAGTTGATTGAGATTCACTGTTCATCTGACGACCAACATTGCCATTCACATAGATTCTTAGTTCTGATATCTCTTCATAGGTATGGACTGGTCTCATTTGGTGATCCCCTCCTTGTGATTGCATTCCTAGTCCATCCGAGGCTTTGTCTTCTGCGGGGTCCCGCATTCCTCCGAACGTTAATGATCTCTCGCTCCTTTCCGGTTTTCCATTGCACGCATAGGTCAATCTATTTATAATAAAATAGAGCACATTAAATGTGTCTTTCGTTGGGAGGTGTATTGAAAAACAAAAATTTTACCCCAATTGGCAGTAATGTAACAATCTGATTGTCTAATTTGCTGTCGATAAGAGTACAGTTAACGCTGCTCGTGTCAACGTGTCATGCGATGCCTTTATCAGTTCTCAAACATGGTTAACTTTAAAATTTCTGTAGCTTTTTTTACAAATTCCATGCAAAAAAGGAAATAGCATCCTTGTTATAAGTGTTTTTGTTATTTTTTCATTATTTCTTTAAACAAGGGATTGATTTTTCAACCATATGTCAAGTCATCAGAAAAAGCGCCTATTTACAAAAGTCGTGTTCGACTGATATGTACGTACCTGCGGTAAAAATAGAAACCAGCTGCAGTCAAAGCAACCAAAATAATTACAGCGACAAGAAGTCCGACGATGAGGCCAGTGTCAGTATCTTCCTTGGTGGAATCAGGTTCTGTTGAGCAACAGAGACAGTCCCGTTAACTAGAACTAGGTGAAGACCAACTCGAGGGTGACAAAACTCCATAAACTGACCACTATGGGTGCTGGCGAGGAGAATGTCCACCATGTCAGGTGGGGAGAGAATAATGTTTCCTTTACATACTGTGCGCACACGTTGAGATTTATTTTTTGTTTGAGGGTGTGTTACAGTACATAAATTGACCATAGAAATTGTCGAGGAATCTTATTTAGAATATCTCACTACAATTAACGTCAGCTGTACGCTTTACGGTTTAATTGACAAGTCATTTGGTAAAATTTGTCTGTGAAAAAATTTTCTGTGAATTCTCCGAGCTCAAAACTTAGCATGATGGTTGTGAATATAGAATGCTGTTTTTGTTGACGTTTGAGAACTTAGACAAAGGAGTTTATCGAGGTCAAAGTCGTTTTCTTTATGGCCTGCTCTCTCGAAAAACGGTGTTTGAGCAGTGTGAATTGCCCAATCTAAATTCTGGGCCTGCTGTAATTTGCTACGTTGTTGCGGTGTCCCTGCCTTTTTTTTTTTTCTTGTTTTTATTTGTTCTTGTCTTTTTTTTTTTTTCTTGTCTTTTTTTATGTTTTATTTTGTTTTGTTTTTGCTTTGTCACTGATTGTAATTTTTTTTCTCTTTATATATATATATAAATATATCTATTTCGATTGTTATTGTTTGGCGACGTTACTACATAAACAAAATAATCGCGCACCGGTTCTCCTTACAACAAATAAAACGGAACTATGCTCAGTCACTGTTCTTGTTGGACTAAGCAAGGGCTGTTATTGAAACTAAATGTTGTATGGGTGCTACAGAACGAAGTGTGATTTAAAGTTATTTTTCTGATATTCGTATCGTTAATACAGCCTATTTAGTATGTTGAGAAAAGACTCTCGAAGTTTCAGCAGCTATCCATACCTCTGAAGCAGTCTTTACTAGAAGTAGCTCCAGTGGCATCCGTTGATTTTCCTTGGTCACACTTTTCGCAGCTGGTTTGACCTTCCTTGTCCTGGTAACTACCTTTGCCACATAGCGTACAGTTACAGCTGTTTTGATCGTAGTACGTTCCCACTGGACACGCCACTGTTGAAAATCAAATGAAGATCCAAAAGTTTGCAAAGTCGTCCGAAATATTTATAAAGTAAATGGCTTGAGTCTCTTAGAAAGCGTTTTAATGAAACAAAAAAACATTTCAGCCGATCAACGAAAATTTCAAAATCAAAAATAGTAAGGGAAAGATCAAAGTAACAACTAGCAATTCCCATCAGCGACGATAAGCGTGGGCAGAAATGATTCGGTTTTAGCGTCAAAACTGATGAAGCGAGAGGGTAGCACGAGTTCCTTTGACCACGAAGCTGTTTAATCCAATTGATCTCAAAAGTGATATAACCATACCAACTGCAACACTTACCACATCCTTTTTTGTCGCCGCTTGTAACAAATCCGGCACTGCATATAACACTATAACAAAGATACTGTAATGAAGATTTCTCAGCGGTGCTGTTCATTCCATTCACATTTATACTGAACTGTCCTGTAACGACCGCATATTTCATCTGAAACAGGACCGCTTCACTCTTTCCCAGGACATCGTCGTTCTTTAAGTCATTATCAAGAGCTTCTCTCACCATCAAGGTAAAAAGAACCTCCATTGCGTGATTGACTGCTTGCTTTTTCCTCTCCTCCTCCGAAAACTCACATTCGGGAACGGTAAGCTTTGTCAGTTGGCAAGCATGGCATCCGGAGACTGTTGAAAGTGTTTTGTGGACAGCGCTTTTCACAGCTTTGAGTAAATCCTTGTGGTTTTTAATGCTCCCGCAATTAACCCCAAGAAATTTTACAGAGAAGTGATGTTCTATTTCTTTGGGAGTAGCTCTACCTGTTGGAAAATGATAACAGGAAAAGAATTGTTGTTATAGTGAGTCAGATATCGATCCGTACACTTACCTTTTGCAATTCGCAATTAAAAACTTATCTTTTTTATCAGACGCCAACCAAAATAAAAATACTGACTTGCCATGTCAACTTATCATTCAAGACATGTATTATCTGTTGTTATCGATCGATATACGACCGATTCACGGGTGCTTTCTCCAAATCTAAATTATCTTGCTCGTTACCACCAGCCACAAGTGTTAGCCAGATTTTATTAGAGGCCTCATGTTTTTTCAATAAAAAAAGGAAATATTTTTTCTTGGTGTTAGACAACTGTTAACCAAGGTAAGAATTCAGGTGCAACTAAAGATAACACATAACTCTAAAAGACATTTTAGAAAACACTTTTCTTACTTGCGCAAGAAGGTATCTCAAGATCATCTTTTCCATTCCATTTCCATTCTGTATCTGGCCCACAGCCATACATTGTAGTTGCTCCGGAATTAAAGGCGTGTCCTTCATCACAAGACATGATGCACAGCAGTTCTCCAGATAGCTTTCGACACTTTGTTTGACCAGTCCTAGGTTTCTCCAGTTTTGCACACACTATAAAAAAGGGGACATGTCTAAATTAAGTTCAAATTTCCTTAAAAATGAGCGGAAAATTTAGGACCAGAGGCACTAATCATTCGGCTGGAATTATTTTTTAATTGTACCTACTTCAAGTTTATGTCAGTGAAACCTAGGAACAATCTTAGCAAGGATTACTCAAAGGAAACAGATTCAACTCTTCATTAATCGTTTTTATGTAAATCCCAGTCTACAATGTGCTGTTAATAATAATGATAACCTATATTTTTAGAGGGTGGCACCAATTACTTTGAAAGTATTCTCCCTAGCGGCCCTCTGAAACACACACCCATCCCACCCCAGGGGAGGACATCCATCACACAGTAATCTCTGTGTGAGAAATTAACGTCTCCTACCCCAACCCTGCAGAAGACGGAACCTTCATTTATTCGTCCCTATCCGAGAAGACTAGAATATCTAACCATTTCGTGATGTTATAGAAACGTAGCAAATTCTTCTCAATTATTTTAAGACCCCGAGTGTTGGTCCGGCCGGGGCTCGAACCTTCGACCTCCCGCACAACAGTCCAGCGCTCTATCCATTGAGCTAATCGGGAGGCGGTTACTCTTTAATCGACGAAATACAAGATCCCAGCGATACTTAGCGCTACAACCACGTTAAAGACCCGTACGGTTTTTGTATGTTTAAGAAAATATTTACCTTTTTCGTCGACGATCTTCTGCGCACAGTTAGTGCCATAATACCCGTCATCGCATTCACAATCGTATCGGTTCACACCATCCACACACTTTCCATTGACGCAAGGATTGGAGCTGCAATCATTGATGTCGATATTGCAGTACGCACCTGAAAACCCGGGTAGACACGCGCAGTGGTAACGGTCTTCACGAGCTTCACAATGGAGAAAGTGGGAGCAATTTGTTGTGCAGTCTAAAGCTGCCGGAGAAAAAAAAAGAGAGAAAGAAAAAGAAATTCATCTGAGAGGTTAGAGTTAAAAACAAATCTGAATATGAATTTTATTCATGATTATTGTAAACAAATTATGAAGAAAATAGAACAAACAAAATACATAAAGGTAACTCATCCAGAAGAAACTGAAAGGAATGAATCTTGGTATCAAACTCTGAAAGTTCACCTGACCATTAGAATGGTTAGAGTCATCTCGATTCTCGTAGTAAAGAAAGAATTAAGTTTAGAATGAATCCCAGGGGCAGATGACCATCACATTTTTAAGGACAGAAGCTTCAGAGTAGCAAAATGGTTACCGGTGTTTGGACAAGGCTAGGTATTTAACTCACTGAGGAAAATGTTTTGACTTAGTCTTACTACCGTTTTTCTAACAATCACCATTTCTTGTAAACTTTTTACTTTGCGGAGTCATTCTTTAATAACTAGGTGAACAACATGAAACATTCGATAGAGTCGCTCCTAGTGACTGATATTTTCATGTTTATCTAGCCAGTCCTCACCCTCACTGCTTATTACTGTCTAGGAGGCGGTCTGGTTGACCACCTCTAACATTTCGCCAGGGTTTCCTGACATAGAGAGACTTTGCAAGGAGGAGGCGTCTTATTCAAGAAAAATGTTAACCACGACTGAATATCGATCTTAGGCCTCGGCATCCAGACCCTTGCGAGCCCAAAATCATACAAACGCGTCTCCTGAAAATTTTGAATGTTTAGCAGACTGCCTACCCTTACATTGCGTAATAAACTTCTTCTCTATTTCTCCTTTGATCCCAAGCAAGAAGCTGCTCCACGCTCGCACACTTCCTGCAACAGGCCAGGTGCAACTGTGTGCAGCATTCCACATGTGGTCTGCAGATGCTGGTACATCCCAAAAGCTAACTTCATGCAGAGTGCCCACGAAAGCCATCGATTCAGTTGACGTCTGGCTCTCTGCGAGATAACGCTGCCCCAATACGACCCAGCCACTTCCCATTATAGTCATTCCGGTTTTTACATCCATGAAATGTTCTACCTCCAGTCCATCGACGTACACAAAAGTCTCTCCATCGATTCCATTCCAAACAACTCCCACGTAATGCCAATGGTCATCTGGCAGCTCGAAGTTCGTCTTTGCTATATCATCTTTTATTTCCAGAAGGATTTGAGACTCTGTAAAAGAAAGTATTATTTTGTCGCGCGGCTGCTGAGGAACGCTGTAACTGAACAGTGTCCCTGATTTGTATCTTGAGTCGGCACGCACAAAAAGGGCGATTGTAAAAGACCTCATGCTGGGAATACTTTTGCCGTCTGACAGAAGTACCATGTCGTCTTTACTTTTTCGTCTGAAAACCAGATCAAAGTTGCTGCCTAAAACTGAAAAGTAATGGCTTGTTTGGGAACAGGACATATACTATTATATAGTAATTAGGATGAAAGGTTCCTTCACGCTTATAAAACTGCATTCGATCCATAAAACAACTTTCACCTATAAGGGTCTCACGTTTTTACACCTTAGTTGCTGTTATGATGTACTTCACAGGTAATCTCTTTTATTGCAACTTTTCGGTTGTAAACAGACACGTAGACCTCTTGGACACCTTTTGTTGATGTTTCATATGGGACTGTACATGCGCTCTACTTTCATTTCGTTTCAAACTTTCCTTATTTTTTTGTTCATAATTGCTCTTTCCCTGCATGTATGAATAGTTTTAATTACCTCTGTTGTTTTACTTTACCTTTGTGGTTTCTGCAGTAATTGTCTTAGTAAGTTATAACCGTATTACAATATATCGATGATTGATCACGATACTCACAGATATCACAGAGATCTCCCGTGAAAGAATGGTAACGTTCACATGCATACCCATTGACCTGGTCTTGGCAGTAAGAGTTTGGCATACAAAGATTCGAGACGCAGTAATTGATGTTGACCGGGCAAGTATTTCCTGTAAAACCTGCTGAACACGGACAGGAAAAGTATTCCCCACCGCTTTCAGTTTTGCATGTACCTCCATTTTGACAAGGCGCAGATAAACAAAGATCCGTCAAGTTTTCACAGTTCTCTCCGCTGAATTTATCAAAGCACTCACACTTATACCCAGGAGTCAGGTCAACACAAGAGCCATTGTTTAAACATGGATTTGATTCGCATTCATTGATTTCTGTTTGGCAGTAGGTACCATTGTAGCCTTCGGAACAGAGACAGGAATACCCCTGGGTACGGTCAACGCAAGTCGCGTTGTTCTGACAAGAGTTGTTCCAACAATCATCAATGTTCAGTTCACAGAGCCTGCCCGTGTACCCGTCTAAACAGGAGCAAGAGAAGTCACTAATGGCATCATGGCAAGTAGCCTTGTTGAAACAGGGTCTTGCCAAGCACTCGTCGATTTCAAACTCGCAGTATTTCCCAAAATACCCGGTACTGCAGTTGCAGTAAAAATCTGTACGAGAGTTGACACAATGTCCATTTACGGTGCAGTTACCAGACTCCGAACAATAGTCCACTGGGTTTTCACAGTGGAATCCGTTAAATCCTACTGGGCACTGGCAAGTGTAGTTTACCACAAGATCCGAGCACGTGCCATTGTTTTGACATGGACTGGAGACGCATTCATCTATCTTCACATTACATTGCTGGCCTGTAAATCCAGGTTTGCAGACACATAGGAAGGCATTAAGCTGAAAAGTGAAAAATTGAATCCTTTGAGATATCATAACTTTGACAAATTCTAATTAACCGATTAAGATAAAGAACATTGCTTAGTCTTTCCCGGGGAACATCTTTCCTCGGTTAACTAAAATTGCGAATTTACAACGAATTCTGCTGATTCTGGAGTTCGTATCGAATACGTATCTGCATAGTACAATAGTACAACAGAACTATTTCATAAACATATCATGAGGTACCTGATCATAACATGTCCCACCATAGTCACATGGAAAAGATGCACATTCGTCAATCTCCGTGCTACAATCGTCACCAGAAAAGCCTGGGGCACATTCACAACTATAGTCATTTACTCCATCTTTACATGTGGATCCATTTCCACAATAGTTCACTGCACATTCATCAATATCAACCTCACACTTAGTTCCACTGAATCCATCATTGCAGATGCAGGTATAATTATGCAACTGATCCACGCACGTAGCATTGTTGTTACAAGGAGAACTAGCGCATTCGTTGATGTCCATGCTGCAGTTTTTTCCTGTGTACCCCAACTTGCAGTTGCATTGATAGTCGTTTATCAGGTCTGTACATGTTCCATCGTTGACGCATGGGTTTCCTGCACAGTCATCAACATTTATTTCGCAGCTGATGCCAGTGAAACCTTCAGCACATGTGCACTCATACGAACCTATGCTGTCAATGCAAGTGCTGTTGTTCCTGCAGGTTGCATTTTTGCAATCGTCCACATTGACTTCGCAGTGCTTTCCTTCAAAACCATCGGCACACTGGCACGTAAAATCCGTGGTGTCATCCAGACAAGAACCATTATTGAAGCACGGATTCGAGGTGCAATAGTCAATGTCCACGTTGCACAGTTCACCCGTCAAACCGGGCGGACATACACAGGTGAAATTGTTTATACCATCGTGACAAGAACCATTGTTCGAACAAGGAAGTGTGGCGCAGTATTCGATGCTGTTCTCACAATGCAAACCTTTGAAACCATCTTGACAATCACATTTATATGCATCAACCATATTGACACATTGTGCTTGGTTCTCACAGGGATTGGAGAAACACTCGTCGATGTCAATCTCGCATGTCGCTCCAGAGAATCCATTCTCACATTTGCAGAAGTACCCGTTTATCTCGTCAATGCAAGTAGCATTGTTTTTGCAGTCTGCCATTACACATTCGTCGACGTCAATCTCACAATAATTACCCGTAAAGCCTTTTGGACAAAAGCATAGATAGCTTCCAATACCGTCAATGCATTGGCCTCCGTTCTGACAAGAATTACCAGCACAGTCATCAATATTCTATTGACAGTTATCTCCTTGATATCCCAGAACACAGTCACACACGTAGTTATTAATACCGTCTCGGCATGTACCTCCATTCTGACAAGGGGACATAACACATTCATCTATGTCAAAATCGCAGAGAGTCCCACTGTAACCAGGTCTACACTGGCATTTATATCCTCCTGGGAGATTCTGGCAGGACGCGTTGTTGGCGCATGTTGAAGAATCACACTCGTTAATGTCCTCTTCGCAGTTATTTCCACGGAAACCTTGTGCACAGGTGCAGGTGTAATTGTTAACAAGGTCATGGCATGTGCCATTATTGAAACAAGGTTGGTCTTGACACTCATCAATGTTGGTCTCACACTGCTTTCCGGTGTAACCGGAGGAACAAGAGCACAGGTAATCTCCAATGAGGTCTGTACATGTTGAATTCTTGCTACAAGGGTCTGATTCGCACTCGTTGATCTCTATAGAAACATGACAAGCAGAAGGAAACAGAACTTACTAGATTTTGAAAACAAAAAAAAAATAAGAAAATCTTTTATTAGAACGAGTAAACCAGTTTCCCTTTTAAGGAAGTATTTTCAGGCTCATATCTGCTTATTTCTAGAGGGGAAGTTTTGTTTTGAAATAATCATTGTTTTATTTGTCTTTTTTTAATGTCAATTATTTGCTTTCATAAAAGAGGTATTAAACATATTAGGTTTCAAAGCTATTGATCCCTAACGTCTTTCAACTTTTTTCTCGCTCTGCATCATCTCAATCCATATCGGCTTAAGGACTAGTTCCTTTACTTTGCCACCATAGTTGATGCAATGCCAAAGTGGGGAGTTTTCAGAACACCCACATTTCTACGAAGAAATGTTTGAAGACTTAATCATGGATAATCTTTAATTTCGGTGGTTAAGATGAACGAAGGCCTAATTTCTCGTATTTTATCTAACCTATGCAATCTTGTGTGGTCTTTGATCCGGGAAATGCAGTTGCAGTGGTTCCCGGACATGGGAAACATATCCGACTCTCCTTGCGTGGCTGGAAAGAGCGTCGGTCGCATAAAGAGCACGGTACCAATCCAGTGGAAGAAAACGAGCCAGGGGGGCAAGGCTCTGTAAGAGGAAAGTGAACATAAATGTTTAGGTGCGATTTTGATAACAGTTACGTCTGCATAAGTCCATAAAATATGGGGGGTAATCTCTTTATCCAATGCGGTGGATATACTCGAAAGGGAGAAAAGAATTTTTTAGATGGAGATTGCAAGACACCTGGCTCTAAAAACACGAACATGAAGAAAAAGATGGGAACGAGAGAGGGAACAGTTTCTTCCTAAGAAATGGTTGATAAGGGTAACCAAGGTCTAACGTCTCCTGCAAAAGCAAACCATAAAAATAGTCCGCAGCGCAACAATTCTGCACTCTAATCATCGAAGAACTAGTTGATTCATATCATAAAAGATTAACCCAGCATATAGGCTGAAGCTAAATATTTAATTCTAAGAGATTGACATCAAATAAACCTTGTATTACCACACATATGAAACTACTCTTAAGAAATACCTCCACACAGCGTAGAGCTATTAGAACCTTCAGATGTCGTTGTCTGGTTCACTGCACATTGCAGGCAGTATTTCTCACCATCCATGTCTTGGTAGGAGCCCTTATCGCAAGGGAAACATGGCTCAAGACCCGTGGGGGAGTAAGAACCAGCTTTGCAAAAAGCTTACAAAAGAAATTAAAAAAAAAGAGTGATTATTATAATATTGACAATATTATGATGTAATGTTGTAGTTGTTATAATCATTAATGTTATCACTAAATGTCGAGCCTAAAAAGTTCTGCAATAGAAGACACACTATTGACATCTTCAATTTGTTAGCGAGACCTGAGAGAGATGCCAGCGAACTACACGACTTGGAAAATCTTATAACAGCACTTTTGAAAGAATAACCTATGATTACCAAAACAGCTGGAGCAGTTTGTTGTTCTTGATTCTATAGTGGAGGTTCCTGGTGGACAGGGCAAACACTGTTCTTGGCCTTCAGAGTCTTGAAAGGTACCATAGGGACAGTCTTGGCATTTTTCAGTGGTTTTGTTCAGAAACGTTCCAGAGCTACAGTTTACTGTAGATTGTAGTTATGGATGTCATCAGAAATTGTATTCTCTTTTACCAGCAAAGGAATTATCAAATAAGGACGTTTTTCATTAGTTAATGAATCCAATTGCTATTTATATCTGGCTTCATTACAAACTGTAACATCATAAGTGGAAGGACATCAGTATTGGAGCAAAGTAAAAACAAATCAAGGAAAGTTAAAATTTCACCACAAGCTGTCATCGTAGCCTTTGGATCATTGTCAGTATGTGAGCCGCTGCGCTGCGCACCTGCCCCCTTCCTTAATTCAACATCAGTAAACTCATAACAGGTAGGGTTTAATTTCGGGCTAGGGTAGAGGTGACTCGCAATTACTAAGATACTGAAATTTCCCTTAACTTTCAACGAATTTCTCAGGGCTTAGTCATTGTGTCCAATCCCTAAAATTAATAAAATAATTAATTAATACCATATTACAAGTACGCAAGACTTACGACAGTATCCATTCTTGTAAATCTGACCAATATAACAAAGAAGCTGAGGGGTTGAGATGTTGAGCGATTCTATGTCAGGATCAAACTCTGAGCCGTTGACTGAGAAGCGAAAGCTGCCGTTTTGAGCTGCTTGTTTAATCAAACTGCTAATGTTGTGGGCAATTTTCACTCCTTCTTCTCCGATCATGATCTGACCTTCGTCGGTGTCGTTTCCTTCGATTCCATCAAGCTCGACTACGAGAGATAAACAGTTCAAATAACTTTCTATTCTCTGTATACAACCCTAAATAATGTCACATCGAGAAGCCAAACTGAACAATTCTCTGGCCTCTCCCTAACTCATGATTTCAGCAGACATAAAAGTGCTCAGAAAATACTCTGATAAGGTCTGTAATCGTTTTGGATTCTATAGCCGAGGGGAGACTATTGAAAAAACTCAGTAGCCCCTGTTTAACTCCTCAAAAGTCATGAACGACAAAATTCTAATATTCAATTCCCCTAAAAATGATGACCTTTCAGCAATAAACCTCTTGCCGAGGGCGTGGCCAGCTTTTCCATTTCTTACAAGCCTGTACCTATAGAAAGTTAATTCTTGTTGCAAAATTTTCAAGAGTAATATTATAAATAACAAGTCACATTACATCACATCACATCGCGCAGAACATTACATCTTTGTACATTTCATCACGTCATGGTACATAGCACATCAAATTCCATTATTCTACATCACATCACATTGCATAACACAACATTGTATTACATCACATTATATAACACCACATCGCAACACATTACAGCAGAACATGTAACATGATCTAAATAAAATTTGCATATGGCTCATTGGAACGTTTATAGACTTACCAATGATCTCGACAGTGACTCTAGCTTGTAGATTTGATCGCCGTCCACTGAAGTGGTTGTTATTTCCTGTTAATTTCATACATTAAAATTCTTATAAGCTATTTTTAACATATTAGATAAAAAAATACATCTCTAAAAGAGAATAATTTCAAAAAGATATATGTTACTGTCCCCTGCAGAGACTCGACCACAAGTTTCAAGAGTTTGTCAGAGACTTAATATTAATGCAGACCTTGATGATCTTTACTATACGCGACCGCGTGCTCACATTGTTGGCATAATAACGTGCGTGTAAATAGGCTTTCTGATCCTCCCTTTTGAGTGTCAATCCTTTCGTTGATTAGGTTAACAGGCAGACAAAAGAACAGACTTCGAACCCGCCTTCCTGAAAGGCGTCCATACTAATTACCTGTCGAACGCTTTTTTATATTGCCAACTGACTCGTCGACCTCTCCGCACTCGACCACAACGTTCTCAGCTTTACACTTATCTCTGACAGATGGATCTTGACAGGCTTGAGTATAGCGAACAGACCCGTTGAGAATCTTTCCAAAGAGCTGTTTAATTTGAATCCTAGTTTCTTCTGTGTTACAACTTCCATCATAGTAGTGCAATTCCATTACAAGTCTTACTTTACTGGCATGAGACTTTTCTGCAAGGTTTAAAAAATAAATCATTGCACAACCGTTGGCATATATTCACTTTTGACCTGCATATTCCCTTTTGGCCTGGCAAAATCAAGTGAAAGATGAGGCCAAAGAATGCACTGTTAAGTTTGAGGCTTCAGTTCCACATTTTTTTTTCTGGGCATTGCATGTGAATGGCTCCACCCTTGCGTCATATATACGAGCAGCGATAAATATTGGTGCAGCCCTTTTCTATCACGTTGGGGTTGCGAATGGAATGGTAACACCGTCCCAGTTATACTCTATCCAGCCTATCAAGGAATGACTAGCAATAATGACATTCACTCCGACGAACTACTTCGTTTTTCACACTAAGAAAGAATGTTCCTTCCTATTTGGAGTGTTATGTGAACAGATGTAAGCCAAGGTAAGTCATGCAGGCACCACAAACGTACCCTTAAGGCCCCAAATACGTGTTCATCTCCTTCTACCAGACTTTGAGCGTATATTAGTTACAGTTGATGCGAGCTGTTTAACAATTTCTATTCGTTTATTTTCTTTCCTATTCTCTTTTGTTTTTATTTTTTACATACTGCTTACTTGTGCAGTCTGGCCAACGATCTTGAGGATACCAGATACCCGATGATCCGCAAACCCAAACGCTAGGCGAGAAATTTTTGTCAAAATCAAACCGGCTATTGCAAGACGGTGAACACATCTTTCCAAACATCCAGTCATCACAAGGCTTGGCTCCGTTGATAGGAGGTCTCAGGTACTTACATGGTTTTGCTGAGAAAGGAAATGCACAGTTTACTTATTCTTTATTTCCTTACTTTTTTCTTCATGTTTTAGAAGCAATTCAAGTGATATAAAAAAGCTAGTGACGATTGATCTAAAAAAATAATTGGATGTGGGTATAATTTTTGGACATTGGCTCGTATTCCGTAGTGGTAAAAGTTCTGTAAACAGAAAAAAAAAAAAGAACGATTGCAAACGTTGCCCCATAGAGTGTTATGCTGTTGACGCCAAGTTCTCTCCTAGAATGGTATTTTGTAAAATTACTCAAAGGTCTTAGAAATGTTTTTGATATTTAACTAGACACGTTACTGATAATGATAAAATGACTTTCTAAACTGTATTTTCAGGTTTCTCTGGGGTTTGTGTTTTTCACGATCAAATTTAAGATTAGCGAAGTTTGTATGTTTCTCTTTTTTTCTAAGAAGCGCACTATTTTACTTTAATAGAGTTACCTAAAGTACTCATGTTGTTAACTTATTCATAGTACCAAGGGATCATCAAAATACATTTAGTTATCATTTCTTGCAATAATTTTATCTTAATCTTTTGTTTTTAACTTGGATTCACGGAGAAAATGGACAAGCGAATTTTGAATTCTCAAGCAGAAGCAATTGAGAAAGTCGTAGCTGAAAATAAAGATTTTCTAATATCAAGTATCTTAAAGGTATGGAATGTGTACCGACAGTTCTTGCAAGGAATCATATTTGATACTTACCTTTTATTGTGAGGTTAAATTTACAGACTGCTGGCTTGTTATCCGGGTTGTTATCATATGCCCTACAGTGAATTGTATAGCTTCCCCAATAAAAGACAGTGCCACTTTTTCGACTGCACGTTATTTGCAGTGGGTCGTTGCTGTTGTCTTCAAATAGAGGCTCTGGCCATGTAACGCCTATTTGTCGCTTTTCTGAAGTGATGATTCGACTTGGAGGGCAGAAAACAACTACAGGACCTGAGTTGTCTAGGAAATTGACCATAAACCCATACATTAACTTTATTTTTATGAGGAATAATTACAAAGAGTATTACGGTCTGAGCAAGACGATTTGCACCACTAGGGAAACATTTATCACCACAGATTAGAATCCTAATGTGCTTTTTTATACCATGTTCGTGATTCAAAGGACGATTTCATTTCCAAACACGTCGAACAGGGCTGTGGGCAGGAAGGACGAAAGTAATGTAGTGTAAGGAAACTAATACTCTATTCATACCAAAGCTTAAACTTGTTTTGAAGCTGTTTAGTTAAACACGTTTTAAAATTGTTTTCTTTATCGAAAGTAAACCAATGTTTTTCGACTTTAGATATACAAGTAAGTAACTGATTGAATCCTTTGCAGAAATAAGTTTTTCAGTTCGCTGTTTCTGATTTTCATGTAGATAAACAGAGTTTAACTAAACCTAATTGCTTGAGTAAATGGGGTAAAAACTTTTTTCTAGAGCAATATTCCTTTTACCATTTTCAGGAAACCTGTCAGGAACACAAAACCAAGTAAAACTTATCAACTTGATTGAGGCGCTACGCGCGGCTGAGTTTTAAAACGTTGCGTCCTCCAAATTGTTTACCTTCCGGGATTATTCTAAAAGAGCATTTGGCTACATTTCCACTTGGATCCTTGGCCTTGTACTCAACCAGAATTGTCTCATTTATCACGAGAGGCGGCATAACCCCCAGAGGGTAGACTGTCACTTGTGGTACCACGTTACTATTGTCCAATGCAACTGGAACAGTCCAATTTAAAATTTCTGTTGAATTTGCGTCGAGGTTTATACGAATGTCTGAGGGACAATTCCTAAATACAGGGGGTGACACATCTGCAAAGATATGCAACAACACAATAACGTTTAACAACGAGTAAACGGTATCTCAGTGTGATCCTACTCGCATTCTGATTGTTCTGGTAGTAGTAGTCATTCGTCCGTCTTCGGAAGACGAGTAGCGTCCGTTAGATTCGTTTCCGGCATATTCGCAAGCGGCTTTAGAGTCCCACACGCATTTGAAAGAATACGCTTGTTGACAAACCTGTTGCTTTTTTCATTAAATAAAACAAAACATTTCCATGTTGCCGTAGGTAGGTGATAGCTCACAGATGACGTCAAATGTGGTAAGAACATCAATAACGTCATCTGTGACCTAAGACTGATCTATTACACGATAACATAGAATCTATTTAGTATTAAGTTTCCTCCACACACCGAGTCAGATTTTTAACTTGTGCAAACAAACTCAAGGTAAAGCTCTATTAATTATGGTAAGTCCTCAAACAATAACTTGCTTACCAAAACATTTTGATATCGAGGAAATGTTTTTGCTCCACTTCCCATCATCCCCACAATATACCACAGTTTCTCCACCATTTTCGATGAAACCATTCCTACATTCGAAGTAACAGGCTGTTCCCCTGACTGGAGACGACTTGCACATACGGTGGTAAATAAAGCCGTATGGTGGAGTACTCAGAGAAGGACATCTCCGCGCTGAGAACGAACAACGCAAATGAAATGTTTAAGTTCTTTACATATTTTGCTATGAAATGACAAGCAACAATCGAAAAATCAGTAGAATAGCATCATTGATTAAAATCTCGCATTCTGATCGATTAAGGAAGCGAGGTATTTAGCTTGGAATTGCGAGTTAAAAACGAGGCTAAGTGATATTGCTTCGCATCTACATACAAATATCAACAATAAGTAACGCTGTTTTATTTTATTTTTTTCTTATTTTTATTCAATTATGCCATTCAAGGAAAATCGATCACTCCACTCTTGAATTCCGCGTTAAATTGCACTTAAAAACAGATCTCGCACTCACCGCCTCGCGATTCTTGCGATATCGGTTTTCAAGTGCAATTTAATGCTGAATTCCTTCGTCAAGTGATGAATTCTCCTATAATATTGTTGTAATATTTGCAAACATCAAATTTATTAAAATTTATTCTACTTTTAAGAAGGCAGTGCTTCGGTCAAATAAGATACATATCCTTCAGGGTTGAGAATTTTAGAAGTTACTAATGGCACATTGAATTCAATTAAAAAGCTGAATGTTGAATTTGAAACATTTTTTTCCTTTCATTGTTGTGCTAAAGACACTGTGTAAAAGACTGGTAACAGGTAAGTAGGGTTCCTATATAATTCGATGCGTGTTGTAGTCAATCTTCAACTATATTTAAAAGGATTGTGTCTGACATTCCAAACACCTTAATTTCTGATGCTCATTGGATACTCATTGTGATAATAGCAATAAAAATTAATCTTTTTGTAGTATAAAGGAATAGGCTTATTATTTACCCTGGCAGACTGGTAAAGAACCGTTCCAATATCCTGTTATGTGACCTGGTTTCCTGAAGCAAGTAAGGATGCTCGACCCTTTTAGGTTGTAGCCATCCTTGCAAGCCACTTTACACGTCGAACCATAACTGTTGTCACAATCTCCTGAAAAAAATCCTTCCAGTGGAGGGAGTAGTGCCTGACATCTGAAGACTAGAAAGGGGGAGAAATATTAGCAACGTGGCATAGATCGTTTCGTTTAATTTAAATATGATTACTTATTGGTTTTGGGGCTGAAAATGGATATCTATCTATCTATCTGTCTGTCTGTCTGTCTGTCTGTCTATATATCTATCTGTCTGTCTGTCTGTCTGTCTCGGTCAAAAACTACACTCAGACGGTTGAAGAAAATAGCTGTTTGAAAATGAATTCAAAGTAAGAAGTTAGTATGGTTTGCACCAGGTAACCAAGATCCCAAACAAAACAGATATCCCAAGATCCTTACCTGTTGAGTGCTAAGATTTGTTTTGGCGCCAATAAAGGACTCACTTCTTTAACAAATGCCAATCAGCTTATGCATTTCTACTAGACGTCATAAAGACCACAGCGATTACTTTGTAAACGCTAAAGAAAACAGGACTTTTTGCTATTTCTTTTTAATAAAGTTCACCTATGGAAGTAAGTATTTATATCACATATAACGAATTTTATTTCTATTAGAATATGATGCCACAACAACTAGGCGAGTTACGAGTTAATCTATTTTTGAGAGTAGTTGATGGGAGTTAATGAGGTAAAACTTGGTATTGGAAAAGCCTTTTATAATTAATATTAGTTGTCTTAAGTGTTAATGTTAAAGTTTTTGTAGGCGCCTTTGAACAGTAGGATACTGGCGTGGTATAAATCTTTTATTATTATTATTACTATTATTATTATTATTATTATTATTATTATTAAATCTGTGCTCGTCATGATCAGTTGCTTTTCCAAGACTGTTTCAGACTGGGAAACATTCATGCTATCAATCCTGTCTTCTTGCATAAAAGATTGTTAAAAAGCAAATTTACGTTAATAATCCCTACCAAATGGCTTACTACTTTTCCTGGACTTTTCTATTATACGGGAAAGCTTTGAATAGTTTACCCTCGACGGTGATGTGAAACTTGCAAATCTTGAAATTTCTCGCTCCATCGGTAGCGTTGTAACTGACATCGTGCTTCCCACTGTAGTATATGCTTTGCACACCTCTTAAAGTCACATTCGGTGCAAGACCAGAGTTGTCAGTGGCAATAATGGGAGGCCAAGACACTTGCGTATAGTTTTTTGCCTTGTCTGCATACACCTTGATATCACCTGGGCAGGTTAAACCAAAGGAAGGACTTTCCACGTCTGCAAGTAGATTAGTTGCAACTGTAACTTATAAAAGTTGAAAAGTTTTAAGAATAGACTTTCTCCCATTTGTTTTTTTGCATGGAGTAAGATCATTATGTTTCGTCTTGGAAAATGAGTTCACAAGCCGACACGAGAAAATAGGGCAAACGTAGCAGGGATTTTGATAGTTTCCTAACCCAAATCAAAGTCATAAATATGCCACTAAGACCATATGGATTCTTGTTAGTTATAAAAGCTTAAAACTGGCCAACATCGTGAGGTTTGGGAAAAAAGAAGTGGTGGGCATGAAGTGTTATTTGGTTCGAGAAATTGTTCTTGAATCATTAAAGGGCTAACGCGAGCTATCTCTACCATTTTCAAGACGAGATAAAGAAAACCTGATGCAGTTTCGAATTAGGTACAACACACAACAACAAAAATGTTCTCAATCTGTTTTTTTTTTTTTTTGTTTAAGAGGTTAATGAGTACTTTGCCTTGTAATGCAGTCGGTGACTTATGTAAAAAAACTTACTTTGACGGTTGAAAATCTGCTTCATTATTACAATAAAACACAAGCAAACTAACTAGAAAAAATCGAACTTGACACACTTTTATCAAACCATCTATTTGCTTGAATACAATACATTGGATTGTTTAAGAGGATTTCAAAAGCTTTGCATCACCTATGTTGATGGCTCTCAAAAATATCTGAGAGCACTTGAAATAACATCCTAACATGTACATTTTATAGGCCCAAGTTTTCCATGATCTAGCTATCTAACCTTTGCACATTGCAGTGACATTCTTTGACCACCTTCCATCTCTAAGGCAAGTTGTTATTGGCTCTCCCTGCAGTCTGTAGCCATTTCGGCAAGAGAAAAGACAAGTAGTGTAGTAATTCGGAGAATTTTTGCATGAACTTGGAGAAATATCGCCATCTATTGGAGCTTGTAACGACTTACAGCGGGCAGCTATGAGAGAACAACTTTCGTCAGTCAGCATCATTTTTAATACTAAGAATAACATCAGATTTTTTCTGTTTTTAAACTGCATTGATGATTATCTTAGGAATGCAATGAAAATTATAAAAGAAAATTATCGTGTTAGACGTTATAATCGTTTTAATTACGATACGGATGGCACTCTTTATTGAGCATAAAAAAATAATAAAAAAACCAAAATAAAAAAAAAATTAGTTGTTTTCCTCGTTAGCTGCTGATCCATTTTGTTGGTTTTACATATGACAGTAAAAAGTTTTTCTTCTGAAGCAGAACTGATTGAAGCGCCTGAGCCCTCTAAAATCCTTGTCATACTGTTGGCACATAGCAAAGATAAAGACTACTACTTCCAATCTCTTTTCTTGTTAAAAAAAAAAAAGAAGACTAAAAAAAAAAACAGTTTATAAATATTCTTAAAATATAAAGTTGAATAAATTTGAAAGTGCATTCGGATTTCAAAACCTACGTTAACCCCTTACCTTCACAGTAGGGCTCTTCTCCCGACCATGTACCGTCAGCTTGGCAGATTCTCTCAGTGGATCCATTTACCCACCGGTACCCGACATCACAGTACAACAGACATTTGTCACCATAAGTGTTGTCCACAGAGCCGCGCCCACATCCGTATTGTGTAATGTGGGCAGGAGGATTGAGACGCGGACACCTGATCACTAAACAAAAATGGTCAAAGTTATTTTTATGACTTTCTTTATCCTACATTTCTTAGACTATGTTTTGGTTGAACTTACGACGAATTATTTTTAAAGTCATCGCATAGAAAGAAATTTGTTCCCATCACTTTAAGAAAGTGGCTATTATCTTGGAAGGGTCACTAGAGCGAACGGAAAGAAAGATATTGCCTCTTTCATATCTAGCTTTGATGCAGTTAACTGAGAAAAAGATCTTTATCATTTGTGCAGTGCGTCCTGGTAGATTTTGACTTACATTCACATTTAGTCTCGTTTCCTGTCCAGAAGCCCAAAGAAGTAACTAGGTCCCTCTCGCACACTCTAACAGTAGAGCCTACCATCTTGTGTCCAATGTTACAAGCAAAGGAACATTCAGATCCATACTGATTGCCTTTAGTGCAAAGAGAACTTCCTCCTGTTGGAGCTTCTAACTTGGGTATGCATCTCGAAACTGTAGAAATGGAAAAAAACAGCGCAGGTAGAGAGTGGGAAGGCTCAAACGCAAGGATAACATCATCAAGAGTGCCAAGGTTTTCGCCTCTTGTTGCATGTTTTTTTTTTCTCTTAAAGCGTTCGTAATACCAGAGTCATTCGATCCTCTTTGTATTGCTAAATATGTGATTTGTATTGCGCAAGTTAATTAAGGCCGCAACTTTCCAACATTCCGCAATTTGTATATTTTGATGACGTCATAGAAATAATTTACAACTTTATGACTTGCTGGTCAGAAGAACTGTGAGACGCCACTGGGTAAATGTCTTTCTTTGATTTAAGTTAACATTTGCATTTCCCTTACTAACTTCAACTGAGTGATTTAGATTTTGAACGTCTACACTCCCTGCGATGACTGTGAAATAAAGGAGTAGTTTAAAACCGTTGGAACTCTTCGGCTAACAACGCACTCTTTAAATATCTTTCAATAAGTATTTTTATATTGGCAATTTCCGCTGCCATAAATAAGCTTTGCAGTTCTCTGTCGACTGGTAACGACAAGAGAGGATCTCCTTTTGAAACCCTGCCATGCTGATGCGATCAAAGTAGCATTTCTCTTTTTTCTTGCCTTTAAATTTGGAACTACGGCGCATTTTTACAAAAACCTACTTTGAAAAAATATCTTGAATCTACATTCGGCAATGTTCCCTGATCTATCAGATGCCAAGTAACGTATGTTGTGTTCCACAGCGGAAAATTTGCTCCCAGGTTGTATTCCAAACTGGATTATGTTAGGAACAAGGCCAGAGTTGTCTGTAACTGTTGGATGAGCCCAGGTCACGTTGGCGGACGTTTCACCTCTATCAGCAGTGACGAAAATGTTTGAGGGGCAGCCAGCAAAAACTGGCGCAGTCACGTCTTTAAAATAGTTCAGAGCAAAAGCATAAACTCAGGTACACAAACACGAGAGAGATGAATATCATTTAGAATAGCAAATGATATATGTAGTCAACTTCGGATGACCCAACGAAGGATCTTCCGAATAAGACAGAGTAGTTATGAAAACACTATTAGATTAAGCTAGTGTGCTTTAACAATTTTTCTATGAGCTATCTAAAGACTTTCTTGTGTTTTAGGCTTTTAGGAAAGTGCACTCTGGGAAAATTGCGGAGACAATATAATTTCTAAATGTCAGTTTTAAATAGGACCCTAAAAGCCTATTTTGGCCTTTGTAATAAATATTTATTTTCTTCATGTAGTTGTTGGAATTCAATGAAAAGGTCTGACATCAGCTACACGACTCTCAAAGTGATTAATAATCACAAAAAGTCCATGATTCAGAGCCTTCCTCAATTTTGATAGGGTATTAAAATGGCTGCTTTCCTTAAAATAAGTAGGAGTAGCAATAAACACGTCTGTTTCATCTTAGTTTGTTCATATTTTCATTATTGAAAATGATCAGTTTTGTTCATAGTAATTCAAGTTAATTTTGTTATTTATTTTTTTTATTTATTTAGCTTCGCCATCCGGCAGGGACACCGCAACAGCTTGCGCCAATTACTACGGGTGCAATAAACCCCACCCATCCCACCCCAGGGGAGGAAATCCATCACACAGTAGTCTCGTTTGTGGGAAATTAACGTCTCCTACCCCAACCCTGCAGGAGACAGGACTTCCATTTATTTGTCCCTATTCGAGAACACTAAAATATCTAACCATTTATTGATGTTATAGAAAGGCAGCAAATTCTTCTCAATTATTTTAAGACCCAGAGTGTTGGTCCGGCCGGGGCTCGAACCCTCGACCTCCCGCACAACAGTCCAGCGCTCTATCCATTGAGCTAACCGGGAGGCGGTTTCTGTTTTGGTTTTCTGTTCACTCAAAACCTGTTGGACTGGAACTGATATGAGATTGACGATTTATAGCACTATGTTTCTCCAAATACCTTATCGTAGCTCGTTGAAGTGCTATAGCATAGAAAGATGTTCACCCGTGAAAGTAAATTAGCCAATAAAAACAAACCTCTACAGGAGGGATTTCCCAGAGGAGACCAATCGTTGTTCTGATTGCAAGTCTTGACTCCAGGCCCACTCTGCTGATAGCCATTCTTACAGGAGAACCGGCATTCTGATTTGTAATATATGACAGCAGTTGCGTTCGTACAGAATGCTGGGATAACAACCAGTTCTGCTGATTTAATAGTAAACGGGCGGCAGGTGATAGCTACGAGAAAACGGAACGTGGTTAGTTAATAGAGATGGCTCATACTTTGAGTTCAGATGTTTGCTCAAATTGTAACTAATAATTTGCGGTCAGGGCCGGGTGGTTCGAAGCTGGGTTAAGCTAACCCAGGGTTAGTGTGGAATTAGATAACAGATCTGAATGCTTTAAGGGAAAATCAACACAAATTTTTGTTAACAATTTGATGAAGGCTTTTGGAATGAAGAATGGAATGGAAGAAACCCAGATAATGCTTGTTTCATAGAGAAGATAAAACATTACGTTCATCCAGTTATAGGTGCAAGTCAACTAGGTTTTGCAAGAGGATTGAGAAAGAAGGCTTGATTCAGTTTTTTTCTTAATTAATTAACCTTGCATAGCTAAATTATAAACATTACATTGACTTGCCCAGCAGTATGCAGGCGTGTCACATGTGGACTTCATAATGACCCAGTTCACAGTGAATTCTCTTGGCTTTATGTTAGAGCATCAGAGTGCGGAATTCGAATGGTCGTTATTTATCTCCTGGGGGGGAGGGGTAAGGATTTTGCTTGTGTCAGGAAAAGATTTTACCAGATCTCTCCATAACGCTTTGTGATGTTTCTTTAGTACCGGCTCATTGGCAGTTAATTGGGGGCTCATTAGTAAATAAACCCCTTCGGGCGGCTGGTATGTCGTCTGATAATGTCCGCGACTGAGAGATTGTCCGAAAAATGAATATTTGGCCGAGAAGCGAAGCTTCGAGGGCAAACATGAAATTTTGAGGACAATCTCTCAGCCAAGGACATTATCAGCCGACATACCAGCAAGCCAGAACGGGGTTTATTTATTTTATAACCCTCCCATTAATTTTCACATCGCAATTAAACTGCGCGTAAACACAGTAAAAAAGCCAGTGGTGATCTGGTGGCGAATGCGCGTGATTGACGCAAGCAAGCAAGAAAAAAAAAAAAGAATTGGTTTCCTTCCATGTAAATAGGAGAACAGAAAAGTTGAAACTCTTGCGTTGACTATGTTTCTTTTTCACGGAAAAAATCGGAGGACAAATATCGACGCGGACGGGGGTTATTGTGTGATAACTGTCCTGTGATTTTTCCCCTCGTGACGTAAAGTAACCAATAAAATCGCGCCAAAATTAATGGGTGGGTTATAACAAACCACAACTATTAAGCAAGGAATAAGACTTTTCAGGAAAAGAGGAAAATGAATCATCGTTTTCTTCATACCTTCACACCGAAGTTGGATTCCACTCCACGTCCCAGTCTGCAAACATGTTCGTTTCTGCGATCCGCTCACTATGTAGTATCCCGGTATGCAAGTGAAGAAACAGGAAGTGCCGTATATGGAAGATGCACCAGTGCAACCGTAACCTGATTTAACTGTGTTATCTGGATTATCCAGGGCAGGGCATTGAATAGCTGGATCGCAAAACAAGATTTTATTCCAAAATGGTGTCTTTATCATAACGTACAGTTTAGATTCTATTCCAATATCTTCTCTCATGCCAAAATGTGTGTATATTTTCATGGTTCAATTTATACAATCCTGCACATATATTTGTTAGAATATAATGTAGGAAAGTAAATATTTTTGTTGTTACACAAGTGTACAACTAAAACGCCTTGTCGAAAAACAAAAATCGTTCTATATACTAGTGCTGCGATCTTATTTAATTCTTATTACAGGGAAGTCGAGAATCATCCTAAATCACTATCATGGGTTGTCGTTCTTGTCCGCATTGTCGTTGTAATCCTCATTATAAAATTCGTCATCGTCATCTTTAATTTGATAGACAGGTTTCATAGTTATATAATGCTAGTTGCCTGCTTTTGGTTGACAGAAAAACTAACTCATGTCATGGGTTATTTACCTTCACAGTAAGTGTCACTTCCCGTCCAGTGTACTAAATTTGTCCCAGCTTTTTTGTCACATTTTCTTTCTTCGGATCCTTTTATTTCGTATCCTTTATTGCACGTCAAGTGGCAGGTGCTACCATACAAGTTTCCACAAGCAGCACTCTCCAGCAGTCTTCCATTTGCAGGAGCGAATAGAGCGGGGCATCGAAGCACTAAAAGTGAAAGAGTGGTAGTAAAGAAAAGAAAACCTTAGAGAGGGTGCTTCTCTTAATCATCTGTTTATACTTAATAGAAATTTCTTTGAGAACCGGGTCGTAATTGATCCGGAGAATATCCAGGTGCGAACAAAACAGCATCGAAGTGGAAAAGTAAGGGGGAGCTGGTAACACGTTTATATGCATTGACTGGGTGGTTCTTTTAATCAAATGTCGAAAGTCAATGTCTATAATATTCCTTGAAAAATAGCAGCATCCCAAAAAAAAAAAAATTAGTAGACTTCAGCTTTCTATCCTGTTATTGAACTTGAGACAGTTTCCCTTTATAGAACAGGTTTGAAAAAAGGGAGGTAATCTTTTGTTGTTTTTTTTTTCTTAAAAATTGCTGATTAGATTACCACTCTATTGAGCATCAGTCAAATAAAGCATAGAAAAGCTCCCCCGTCTACATCCTGAATTCGACATCATTTGGGACCTTTCTTAAACGAGTATTCGCGACGATTCTCCTCATTTTAAACGATGCTTTATTTACAGCTGTGTCACGTGCTCAATATAATGGTGCTAAGAGAAGAACCTAGCATTGCCCACCCTTCAGCTCTAAGATAATCCTCAACAAGCTTATCTAGAGTCAGGGTGGCCAGTGTCCTGATAATATGTAGATTGTACTTGGCGTAATCCAAAGCCACGATAAAAAAAGAGAAATTAACCATGTACTGATTCCTTTATGTAAGATTAAACTATGTTCGCTAGATTTTTTTCTTGGCATTGATTCCAAAATAACCTTGCACGTTGACTTGAAAGTGACATAACTTCACGTTCCCGGATGGATCTGCAGCAGTGTAAGTTACGGAATGGCTTCCCTCAGAAAAAATGTGCGGAGAGGTCACATCAGGAGACACAGTCACGATAGCCTGATCATTATCAGTGGCTATGACTGGTTCCCAGCTTATCGCGGCCGACGTTTTCCCTTCGTCAGCAAAAACACTTCGCGCAGATGGGCAGGTTTCACTAAATGAAGGGCGTTCATGATCTATGAGAAGAAAACAGCTAAATTTTGAAATGATGTTTAACTTGAGAGCCCCGTTCGATGTAATTTATACACTTAACCAAACGTTTTTTTTTTTATGAAATCGTCTATTTCTATGTAGGAAACATTCGATCGAGCAAACCCAGCCTCCTATCCTAATCCAGACATATTTAAGGTATTAGCCTGCATAAAGTCGTTTCAGTGGGTGTCCATCGTCATTTACGAGTAAATGCAAACTCCACTAAATGACGACCCAGAGTATCGATATCTCGCCCAACGAGTCAAACAGGGAGGATGCCGAATTTTTCTGGAATTGTTATAATTCCCATCATTTCATCATTTAATCCACTGGGATCGTTTAATCTTAAATAACTTACTTAAATTCTGTTCGAATTCTTACTCCTAAACACTTTTGACCCAGAATATCGTGCGAGTATGTTTTAACTCTTCAACCAAGACAGAATTTCTTCCAACTGTAGCAATACTGTCAAGCAAACAAAGGATTAGAATAAAGAAACATATCAATTAGGGGGTTATTAGTCGATCCAATACCAAATTCTCCAAATCTTCATCATAAGAATTGTATGGCAGACATTAAGGAGAAATAAAAAAGGGATCAAAAACAAATGTCATTGTGCACTAAGCTTACCATGACAATAGAATCCTTTATGTGTCCAATGCCCAGCATTACATTTGCTTGAGTTATGTCCAATGACTCTGAATCCTGGCCTACATTCATATTGACACGTCTGGCCATGAAGAGGCTTGATTTTGCATAGGTAGGGAGTAATTTTCCCATGATCTGGTTCAATTAGTGGTGGACACTCACGTACTTAAATGAAAACATATTAATCACATCAGCTTTTGAGAGTCTTATCTTTCGAAACATCAAAGCTAAGTGATCCTTCGCTTTCGATTGTGTTTTTACTATTATATATAATATTATTATATAATTATCATGTATTACTATTAATTTATAGTAACTATATCTATATATATATATTTAGTATAATTTCAGAACTGAGCAAAGAGTTTCCAGCAATCTGATTGGTCGAGTGGTTCCTTATATGACGCTATATAAACCGCTCCACGCGGTTTATATAAAATGTTAAATTAAAATGTTGATAAATGTTACTAAATGTTATGATTTTAGAAATTTCTCTGTTGTTCAGCTCTGAAATTATACTAAAACAATTATTCGCCTCCGGGTCGGTGAATATTGTCGAATAATCCCCCGACTTCGTCTTGGGGACTATTCGACGATATTCACCTCGCCTTCGACGAATAATTGTTAAATATAATATGTTATTATTATTATTATTAATATCACTGTTATTTCCTTGTTCTTTTTTAAGGGGATGAGGCTTCTTCTTTGTTTTGTCTGTTTGTTTTCCCTTCCTTTTTGTCTTTCTTCGTTTGTCTGCACTCGTCTTTTTGTTTGTTTGTGTTTCCCTTTTTGATATTCCCTATTTCATTTTTCCTTTATTCCTTGATTGAGCCTTTTGTTTGTGGCTAGGATCTGTAACGATAAATTCGTGTTCAGCCCACTGTAAGGGTCTTCAGCTCCTTGCTATGAGATAAGGCAAGTACAGGCACCCTTACATTTTTAGGCTTATAGAATTTTGCATAAAGCTTTACCTGTAATAGTGACAAAGTACTCCTGGTCGTTATATTACTGAGGAAACAGGAATATCAAGCTTTTGCGGTCAAGGGTGACTTAAGCTCTTTTCACTAGTAATAACCTTTCATTGGTTCGTGCTACTTTTCCCTTACCTTCATTCATTCATTTAGCCTCTCACTTCTTCACTGCTTCACTCAAGTATCATCATGAGGTATCAGTCCACTTTATTTTTCATCCCTTTACAAACTGATTACGTAGCTATTGATTTGGCGCTGACCTTTACAGTTTGCTGTTGTCTTTGGATCCCATTCCCCATCCATGCCACAAATAGAGCTTGAACTACCACTCAGTTCATACCCATCATCACAAGTGACCTCACAACGCGTCCCAGACGCCACTTGCGACAGGCCTGCACAATGAGCAGATATCTGTCCGTAGCTGGGTGTTGGCCACTCACTGATATCACAGGTAATTCCTGTGAGAAGTTCAAATTTAAAGACTTCAGAGTGGTTTCAATTGGTGTAGGTATGATAGTTATGTCTTTTGATATCTATGCGACTCGACTTAGTATATAAGAATGTATTGAAGCATCGTGGAGGTATATTGTACCTTTATGAAAAAGATTGAGTGAGATTTTTTGCAAATTATAAAGCTTAGAGAATTCGTTTCTTGAGAAAATAGGTGCAGCTTAAGTAGTGGCGCCATGCAATCCGTAACCTCCCCTGAGTCATTTAAAACTAATATATAGATTTAGCCAAGCCTAACAGCGGAGCTCGCATTTTTCCCCCACGTATCAAGGGCACAACGCCGTGCTCCGGCCAGGACTCCAACCCGGGTCTTCCGACTCGGAGCGCGGTTCACTAACCACTGGACTACTGGACAAAGCTGTGGCGTTGGCGCGCCCGTGGTACAGTGGACCACGCATGCTAAAAGTAACACTTTGTACGGACGCCCGTAGGGTCATAAGTCCAAATGTTTTCGGCTTGATGGGCTACTACTAACATTTTATATAATTATGAGGCCACGCTTCGCGCACTCCGCTATTATAATAATCCCTCCCCCTTCCCTCCTAATGCAAGCGCTCATTTTTCTCTCTAAAAATAGTTTGGGAAAGCTTTCATTTTCATTTTTGGGTCTTTCAGTAGGCAAGGCACATTCAATTTACATTGTCCCTCTATACGATGAAAGAAAATCTACTAACGATCACACTTTTTCCAATTTCCTGTAGAGATTTTGTAGCCGGGGTGGCAGCGACATGAGTATGTACCAACGTAGTTAACGCATAAATGTTCACACTCCCCGTTGCCATGGTTACACTCGTTGCAGTCTATGGATACATAGCGATTGCCAGAACAGTCATGTCCACCATCAGCTGCGGCTGGGTTGTCACAGCTTCTGATTCTGGTCTTATAGCCATTAGAACACGGTGTTTCTTCCCAGCTGCCTGGGTACCAAGGGCCCCACTGACCATGTCTTGGTGCTAAAACACATCGAACAGAATGCTTTAACATCATTGATCATTTAATTAACAATTGGTTCATGCTTTAGCGTGCACTATCGAATTACGGAGCACGTGGGAAATTTGGAGAGCACGAAAGAAGCGTAAGAGTTGCACGAGGCAATTGCTGAGGGAAACTCTAGCTTCTCGAGTGCTCTCCAAACTTCCCACGTGCTCCATAACTCGATAGTGCACAGCTAAAAGCACGAACCAATTGTTTTATAACATAGCCGATGGAAGTTTGCATCAAATCCGACTCAAATAACGGACAACAATATCAGAAGTGATTGTTCGCGGTAAGCGAAATATTAAGCAAAATAGAAATTGGTTTTATTTCAGATTTTCTCTTGAAAGCTCGAGTGTTACTTTACTGAAATTTAAAAACAAAATTCTTTATTTTCGAAACAGAAATTACGCTCAAGAATGGCACTTTTATTTAACAATTTCTGGCTGAGCGATTTGCTCACGCTATCAGCGTGCACTATCGGGATTTTGAGCACGCTTACGTATACTTAATTTGATTGCGCGGCTTTGCTAGCTATGTTACAAAAGCAGTTGATCGGAAATTTAAAAGCGTTTTTGCTCCGAAAAGTCTTCAATAAGAGAAGAATGACGTGAAATTGGCTCGGAAAAATTCACTTTTATAGGTTTAGAAGAAGTGGTTTTACGATTCGACAGCGGACACCGGAACTGATTTTTTCTCTCAGAATTATCACTCGAATGCTACTCAAATGTCGAATGTGAAAATTCCTCCAGCGCGAACAATTCTGCTTCGTGAGTCAAGAGCAAGATGGCCGCCCGAAACATAAAGATGGGATTATCAAAAGTTTCTTTCACAACGGATCTCGTGATCGTCTATCATTTAAATGAATGGACCTCCAAAAACAATTTATAAATGCGCATATCGATTTCTTATCTGTAGCTAAATTCTGAACAATGTCGGAACAAAGCCTATCTTACTGACACTAGACATTTTTGCTTATGTCTGGTTGTCTTTTTCAAGATTGGCCATTTTTTAATCTTAAAAGATTTCTTCAAATGCAATGCGGAAATGGAACCCATCCCTTTCGCAACGCACTTCCCAGAAAACGGACTGTTTCTACAAAAAAAACTCAGGCGATGTGCATGATATCCATGTGAATTTTCCCAAGTGTTATCATTTGTTGTTGTTTAGTTGGTCATCCTTGACACTCAAATTGATTAGATCCTTCTCCGTCTTCAGATCCTTTTGTTTTCGGAAATCATGACAGTCTTGCATTTGTTGTAGACAAGATGTTTTTAAAGGAGGTTATTAACATAAACATTTATTCGTGATTGGGTTACAAAATACGGTCTTTGTTGCCTGCGGGGCAGTCTTTCGAAAGGGAAGGTGATCTCACTTAAGCTACGACGGAAGCCAGGCCTGGACGGAAACTGAAAGTTTGAAGCGTATGACGCGGACAATAATTTTATCTCAAAAAATTTCCTCCCATCACATTCTTGTACACAATCCTTGGGAAAAAGTGAAAGGTTCTCAGAGAGATCGATTTATCTGGTAGATATTGATCGAGAAATAAAGAACTTCAAGAGATTTAAGATATTTTTTAGGAGCTTTGTTTGTGTATTGCAATATTTGCGGGGTTCTCCTTCAAGCCGGTATATATACATACATACATATTCTATTTGATAAAGCAGGTTGATTAATGGCAGCAAATGCTTATGTGGACCTGCTCTAACAATAATAATTATAAATACCATATAAATACATGCAAACGTAAGTTGAAAAAAGTATTTTACGGATGAAACGCAAATAAATAAATAACTAAAACAAATTAGTATTGTTAAAAGTATATAAAATCAGCGACGTTCTTCCTCGTTCCTTATTAGCTGCGTCGGGCGAAATAATTTGTGAAGTGGCGGAGTCTAATCGCTTCAAGCAATAAACTAAAAGCTATTTAAGTCTTTCTCACGACGTGAGCATGATTTTCCAAGTCTTTTAGCGACAAAATTTTCTTAAAGGACAAAATTTGCGCACTTGATGTAAGCCGTAAATCAAATATGTTTATGATACAAAGTTCCTGTTCTAGGGATTGATTTTATCCCACCATTGATAAACCATAAAGGAACGACTGGAGTTAGTACAACTTTAATCAATCGGTAAACCAGCAGCGATTCAGATATCACATCAACTGTCCCCTAGTTTCTTACTTCATCATTTGGTGAATCAGAAGGAGAGCTTCCCTTTCACGAGTTGCGAAAATTGCAGCCAGAGAAGCGAAATCTCACAACTGTCATGTTTCTCTGCTAATCCAGAATTCTTACCGAGATCCAACGTTTAGCAACTCTATTCGAGTCAAAAGAAAAGGATGGCCAAAACTTCCTATCTGCCCATCAACAGATCTTTCCACAGTTCTGTTTTGAAAACAAACTGATTGTACATACTCAAATAAGAAAGTATTAGTGAGCAAAGATTACTACTCACAAGGTCCGCAGCGCCCACGGCCCTTGACATGATTTCCTTTTCCACCAATAACTATGACTCCAAGAATTAGGACTGCGTTCTTAGCGAGAACGTTCATGGTTCCCGTTAACTAAAAAAAAAAGGTTATGTCTTTCTCTTTCTAGAGAAAACCCCTTAGGCCGCCTTAGAGGGCGGCTATGTAATTATATATACATGGAAAGAAACATGCATAATGATTAGTTCCACATGACCTCACCTACTGCTAAAGAGTGTATTGCCATCATTCAACAGCAATCTGAAAATCAAGAAATGCCTCACTCTTAAAGTACGAGTCGAACAAGTCCAACAGCAGGTAAATTAAACATCAAGTAGTGGAAAAATGAGTCAAAGTGTATCAGGCGCATGCTTTTAAATATCAATGCATAGAAACATATTTGTAATGCGTTGTTCAAGTGTTTATCTTACCGATACAGCTTAAGCAACTTCTCGAAACAAAAAGCGAAAAGACGCAGGCATTTCAAACTATTCAAAATACAATTCCACTGATTTTTCAAGGCAAGGTGACATCGTATCAGCACATTTGAAAAGAAATGTCATTTGTCATAACAATAAACTTGTTTTCAGTAACCCAATCAACGCATGTGATACGATTATAAACCTATCGCTTAACCTTTACATGTGTTATTTTTCTCGTAATTCTCAGACTTTTCCTTTGAAAGAAAAGCAGTAAATTTCCAAATTTAATTTCGAAGTACAATGAAGGACCACTTTGGCCATCAACAACTGGCAGTTTTTCTCGAGACTGTTTAACGGAAGTGGGTAATTTCCAGCAGTGCTAAAATAGAATAATTAACAACTATTCACCGAAGTGGAGGTGGTTAGTGGTGGATATTTACCGAGCCGCGAAGCGGCGAGGTAAATATCCATCGCTAACCACCGAAACTGAGGTGAATAGTTGTTTTAGTATATACTAAAACAGTGAGATAATATACACCACCAAAAATTGATTTTAATTCATACGATTCCAACATTTCAACATTTTCCCGCGCGTAACAATCCAACGCGGCTCGGATCGCGGTAAGTGATTTTTTGTTGTAAAAACTGCCGTCTCGTTTTTTCGCTGACAGATAAAATTTCTGAAGACATTTTGTTTAGCTCTGGTGGCGACATTTCTTCAAATGGTGTTGCAAACTCTTTCTGTATTTGAAACCATTCTGTAAAAAATACCATTCAACTTTGATTTTCAAGTAAACAAGTGAGGTTACGCAAGATTAATTTGCATTTGTAAACAAAACCTTTTTCACTGGTTTTTAGCGATAAACTTCCGGTTACCATTACCTTTAAACACAGCCAAACCAAATTGAATCGCTTTCTCTGTGTTTTCAGGGACTGCTTCGTTGTTATTTGAGTGATTTATTCGCTTGTCACGGAAGCAAAACGGCACGCCACTTTCTCTCGAGTTGCTCGGAGGTAAATAGCAAAGGATATTCGGAGTTTGACTAGCCAATCAGAGCGCGCCTTCAACGCTATCTACTGTTTTAGTATATACTAAAATATAATATCACGGTATGCTTAAGAGCAATTCTCCGAGAAAGTGAACCGAAGTTGGAAATGAAAAATTTTAAGCCCCCTTCAATTTTTGTGTGGAGGTAGGTTACCGGGGGGGAATAAGCAAAAACAGCCATATTTGATTCGGCAGATGCATCGTTGCCATGGTAACCACACTAGATGACGTAGGTCTCAGGACCATGTTTTGAGCCAGGCAGTGTACGCACTCTGATTGCCTTACCTCATGGCCGTAAAACAAAAATAGAATTAGTTGCAATTTGAATAATTGAAGTAAACTTCTTTGGTGGCAGCAAGATAGCCTGAATATACGTGGATTGTAATTGGGATTGACTGACTGTTGCCGTTCCTTCGAAAGTTAAAATGTTTGACGGGCCTGCGCGAATCCCGTCATTCCTCCATGACGAATTCGTTCTTAGGCGGCAACTGACGTGATTAAGAAAGATTCGAAACTGCAATGTGCCTAAGAATCTGGATACAAATGGTAACAGTTACACTTACAACCGATGGCGGGATGAATGATTTCATAGTCAGAGATTATATTCTTAGACGCGAGTTATTAAACATGCAGTCGGACGTTTTTTAAGAGTGAAATTTTTCTTTTTGCAAAAGTTAGGTAAGCTTCAATGTAATCCAATAAAAGAAAAAAAATTATCTTTTCGCCCTCTAAAGGTGGGAAGTAACCTTAAGAAATAGTTTAAACATTTACGGAATGGAAACAGAATAAGTGATCAAATACCAGGTGGGAAGGGCCATAGCGAGTTTATTTGTTGACTTCTACGTCGTTGAAATGCAACGTGTTCTTTGCCAGGAAAGCGACGTTAAATTTAACCAAAGCAGAACAAAACCAAATCTTGTCTACCAGCGTACCACTAAACATATATTGGAGTGATGCAAACCATATCCTTTGTGCATTTGGCGAGCTTTTGATCACCATACATCTGCTGTAAAACGACTTTCGGCCATCTTGTCCTTAGAATGTGATTTCAAACCCTTGTGAGGTGATGAAAAATTAAGGATTATTAAAATGTATATTGTGTCTGAAATTCAAATGAGAAAGCTCTTTTTTTTTACAAATAACCGACGCCCTCGAGAGAGCGTCGGTTATTTTACTTAGCCATGACAATGGAGGAAGTGTGATGCCAGAAATACGAGTTAAAGCAATACAGTCTGGTCGTAAGCAAGAAAGCTTTGAAATACTCCGGATTAAAGAAAAATGGCGAAAGGGAATTCTCTCACTTCACACTACACCAAGGTTAACAGCTACAATCTTAGCCAAGGGAAGCAGTGAAAGCCTTTCACTGCTGGTGTTTAGAACCGATGGATAAATTCTTGAAATCCACGATCTGTATTCAAGGGAAGCCTTCGTTTTTAGTATCGTCGAAAGCAATTAATAAATTGTAAACAGTATTTTCAGTTTTTTCGTACGATTTAACTTTGCAGAAGAGTTTATAATAATTTCTAATCTGGTTGCGTCGCTTCAAGATAATTCTAGTACCTAAGCACGAATGAGTGCTTAAGAATTTTTTTTTTGTCTTCCTGCATGTTGATAGGGCTCCAAAAGCACAATAGAGCTGAGCAAAGGATAAGTGTCTTCAAACATTACTTTAGTCGGGGTGGTTCTTGTCCTTTTCCTGGAAAACATTATCTATTACCGGGAACCGCTTGTGATTGTACGCAAATTGTGTGTTTCTCATAAGTTTATCTAAGACTTTTACATTCTTAGTATTTGGTGTGCAGCAGCATAAAGGATAGATATAAACACCACTTACGCCAGCAAGTGGGGTTATATTTCCGTGAAAGAGATCAGATGAAGCAGGGCTCCCTAAATAAAGAGTTTTAAAAGGTAATTGCGAATAGGGCGCTCACGGAAATTAAAATCCTCGCCAAGCTCATTCACATGTGGCATTTTCTAAAAAAAAAAAAATAGCATAATCGGAGAAAAGCCGAAAGCTTAGAAGAACAGGGAGGATAAACTGTTTCCGTTTCTTTTGTCCCATCGCTTGACTCTCTTTTATAAGTACAGTATAAGGCCATTGATACCTACATTGTTTCCTACTGCAATGGACATACCAATCGAAGTTATAATAGAAGTTAGAAGTTAGCAAGATGGCCTTTCGCCAGGAATGAGAGACCAATCTTTTCGGAGACGAGAGCTCCTTCACTAACGTGGTTTCAATTCCAAACTCAATTTCCAGTTGTTTTGAAACTGATTACTTTGGTCGGTGCCTTTCCCATCGTTTTCCTGGAAAACGTTATCTCTTCCTGACATGGCGTATGCCTCTAGAATTTTGCGTAAGCTGCCGGTGTCCTAGCCGATTAGGACCCCTTAAATTTTGACCCCAGAGTCTAAATCTGCTAGCGGATATGGGCTCCACTCCTCAAATTAGGACCCGCAACAAAACTGAGTGAAAGCATCATCCTTTACGCATGCATACATTTGATTTTAGAGCTGTAACTTAGAGATTGCTCTGTTGCAAAAGTACGGATTATTAATGAAAGGTGGGGCGAGGAAGGGGAGGAGGTCAACTATCAATTTCGCAGAAAGTAGGCGACAGAAGTAATAGCTGCTCTTAAAGGTTACAAATAATAACCGACAATCCGCTAATGTTAACGTCAAAACACGGAAAAAATCCTCCTTCGTACATAGACGCCTCTATTTATTTTTAGTGATTCAAGTAAGGCAGAGTCTATGCTTCCGCGAACTCTTTAAAGTCGTAATATGTTAAAATGTACAGTTGGCAAAGCAACGGATAAGAGAAATTGTGTACCATGGACGTCAGCAGGCATTTCAAGATGGTAGGAGTGACTCAGCGACATTATCAGAAGGTGAGTGCATTTCGTTGAGAGCAGGATATTGCATCACCGAATCTCGCGTATTTCCAAATATCCTCAAAAACCATCATGATTTGAATTTGTTTAATTTAGAGTTTATTTTCATTTCAGGTGTCCCCGATTAGTAAGCCTATTACAGGCTAGCTAGAAGTTTGACACTGAAATAAAGTTAATATTATTATTATTGTTATTATTATTATTATTATTATTATTATTGTTATTATCCCCAGCATAAAGTGTGTATCAGGGCAAAAATAATCCTCTCTTTCGCTAAATCAATAAATGAATTGCCATTTATCGGATCCACGTGTTTTCGCAACGAAGTTTGGCCTTCATCTATATATTTATTAAAATTTCAGAGCTGAGCAAAGAGTTTCCAGCAATCTGATTGGTCGAGCGGTTCCTTATATGACGTTATATAAACCACTCCACGTGGTTTATATAAAATATTGAAATAAATGTTAATAAACGTTACTAAAATGTTATGATATTAGAAATTTTCTGTTGTCCAGCTCTGAAATTATACTAAAACAATTATTCGCCTCAGGTTCGGTGAATATTGTCGAATAATCCCCTCGACTTCGTCTCGGGGATTATTCGACGATATTCACTTCGCCTTCGGCGAATAATTGTTAAATATCTTTAATTATCTCATTTGCCTTATCAAGCTACAACATCAGGTTAGGGAAGACCAATGTGAGTGCGTATTTTCCTTTCAGAAAGTATGTAGTAATAACCTGGGTACGCGGCACTAGCCCTCTTCCTTAATACACGCACTCTGGAGTTCCCCCTCCAAAACACAAAAAAAATTCGGCTGGATTTCCATATAACCCCATACTAATCAAAAAGAAAGCCGTAGTCTCAAACAGACTTTGTTGGGTTATTTGACATAAGCATATTACTAGTTATAGCTCTAAATTCAGACGAGACATGCCTTTTTTCAAGCTACGTAGAGAACACTTTTATTGCAGTAACTGTTACAAAGTTTACTGTGATAAAAAAAAAAAAGTTAAGTGCACCAGTTTAAAAGCAGAGCGCACAAATGGTCCAAAGGTCTCAGACTTCTTTTCGCTGTAATGGTGTTAAACAAGGACAGTTCCCGCAGGCAATGTTAATATTAGTTTATCGATTTTCACATGCCCCTGAGCTCTGCTTTAGCCGCAAAACCACGAGTATCTGAGAAATATTATTCTCTAAGCTCATCATGAACATAACGATTTCGTAAAATTACTGCATCGCAATCCCCTAATAACTCTGAAGAGTTGCACTCAGACCGTTTAATTGGGCGATGATCAGACAATTGTAATCGGAAAATGTCCACATTTCCTTCACAGTCTCAAAATGTTAATCCATATACCTGGATAACCTGGTTTGCAGGCTTCGAAATAATCGGGAAGTTTAAACGATTCTACTATAGACTAAGTCAGTAACTGCATAAGGCGAAACATAATTAGTATAGGTCGGAGGTGGAGACTGATTTTCGCTATGTTCTTCCCGGGGTCCATTGCGGCGTTCAGTCACCGTCATGTTTCTGTCTTCCATCAGGAATCCTGGGTTACCGACTCCCTGCTGGGAATACGTAATCGATTCGTTGCTTGGTTCCGGTTTTCCAGTGAACCTATGAAACAATCTACTTAGAATAAAAAAATATAGGAAATTCAAGAAAATTGAAAACAGGTCTCCTTCTAACATTTAATTTCTAATCGCTGACTCACTTGACTTACTTGATCTCATCTTTTTTATTACGTTCATTGTCAAATCTGACTTCAAATTAAAAAATTACCACCCTTGAGCCTCCGATTTCTACTGCTTCGCACTAAAATCGTTTTAACGATTAGATTATGGTAGGAAACAGTCGCATAGCTCAAATACAACTCAAAATCGTGGACGTAAGCAATTTCTAAATTGAGGCTTTTATAGATGGAGTGAAGCTCAGATGCTGAGGCTAAGAAACTTTCTTTGGCTTCGTAAAATTTTTTTACGTTTACAATACAAAAACGGAAATAATCAGCTTTTTTTGATGTATGTGTTTGTATCTATTAATCTTCTTTCGTTTATGTAAAAAGTATGGAGTTTTCATGTGCATGCACTGTCACAGGCAAAGACCTCCACATTTAAAGAGTCAGCGTGTATTGATGAGTACATACCTGCGGTATAAAAAGAAAACAACCAAGGGGATTAAAATAACTACAGCAACTGTAGCTCCGACGATAGCGCCAATGGAAGTACCTTCCTCGATAGAAACAGGTTCTGTTGAACAACAGAGACAGTCAAGTTAACGTCAAGTAGGGGAGGGGGGGTTGGCGGGGAGAACGTTCAAAATTCCCCATGAGTGGAGAGCATTGTGTTTTCTAGACATACTGTATACCTCGTTGAAGAAGTTTTGTGTGTGTGCATGAGCGTTACATGTACTTGCAATGGAAGCGTTTAAGCAACGTTGATAAAAATTTTTTTCCGGAGTGAAGTCCGCATGCATTATTTACAGTTTCATCGTCGAGACATATAGCATTTTTCAAATGCCAGAAATTTGTTCTTTATAGTCTCCCGGTTCAAAACAGCATTATGGCAAAAATAAAGATTAATTCAGAGACTAGATGAGAGAACCTCCTGACTTAAAACTCGCTTTATGGCCTGTCCTGACGAAATACTACACTGTGTTAGGGAGGTGTAAACTGATCACAATAAAATTTAAAAGATGGCGCACTGGTTCCCCTTACGACCAAATGAAAATGAGACTATGCTTAGTTACTGTTCATGTTCGACTACGCAAGGGTGCTTGGTTGTTATTGATATTCATTGTTTTATGGGTCCTGCAGAACGAATTGATCTCTGATCGATAGTTATTCTGATATTCTTCATGATACTTTCGTATACAGTCTATTCCATGTGTACTAAAAGATTCTCGAAGTTTCAGTAGCCATCCATACCTCTAACACAGTCTTTACTAGAAATAGCTCCATTCACATTCGTTGATTTTCCTTGCTCACACTGTTCGCAGCTGGATTGGCCTTCCTTATCCTGATAACTACCTTTGCCACACAGCGTACAGTTAAAGCTGTTTTGATTGTAGTACGTTCCTACCGGGCACGCCACTGTAGAAAATCAAATGAGAAAGCGAGAATTTGCAAATTCGTCCCAAGTATTAATAAAGTGAAAGGCTTTGAAATTAAGAAGAGTGTTTTCTCCTACTATGCGTTTCGATAAAATATCGTGAAATCGGAGTCAAGTAAAACATTATAGCCCATCAGAGAAAATGTCATAGTCAAAAATAGTTATCGAAAGATCATAGTAACTACAAGTAACTGGCCACCAGCGAAGAAAAGCGCAGGCCCTTGAAGGAATGATTCGGTTTTAGCATCGAGATTGATTAAGAGAGAGGGTGGCGCGAGCTCTTTAACCACGAAGTTATTTTATGCAATTGACTTGAAAAGTGATATAATCATACCAAATACAACACTTACCACATCCTTTTTCATCGCTACTTGTAACAAATCCTGCATTACATATAACACTAGAAGAGAGATGTTGTAGTGAAGACCTCTCAGCGGTGATGTTCATTCCGTTCATATTTATAATAAACTGTCCAGTGGCAACCGCATATTTCATTTGAAAAAGGACAGCCTCACTCTTCTCTGTGACATCGTCATTCACTGAGTTACTATCAAGCGCTTCTCTCACCATCAGTGAGAAAAGAACCTCCATTGCGTAAGTAACTGCTCGCTTTTTCTTATTTTCCTCCGGTAATTCACATCCGGGAACAGTAAGCTTTGTCAATTGGCAAGCATGCCATCTGGAGACTGTTGAAAGTGTTTTGTTGACAGCGCTTTTGACAGCTTTGAGTAAATCGTTGTGGTTTTTTATGTTTCTGCAATTAATCCCAAGAAATTTTATAGAGAAGTGATGTTCTATGTCTGTAGGAGCAGCTTTACCTGTTTGAAATTATAGCATAAAAAAGAACTGTTGTTAGAGTGAATCAAATTACCATCCGTAGACTTATCTCATACAATTCGCAATGAAAAACATCCCATCTATTTTATCACACACAAACCAAAGTAAAAAATGCTGACTTGCCTTGTTAACTCATAATTTAAGACATGTATCATCGGCAGTTGTCGATCGATATATAGTGATATTTTAACTGAGTTGAGTGCAATTTGGGCTGAAATCATACGCGTGATTTCAAAATCGAGCGAGCGCGCAGCGCGAGTTGGATTTTAAATCACATGTTTTCAGACCAAAATTGAACGACACCAGGTTAAATTACCACTTTATTACATCCATTTTGAAACCACCCAAATACAGGACTCGGTCAGTTCAAATATTTAGTTGATGCAGTACTGAGCCAGTTTTTAAATAAAAAGCGAAACCAGAAATGCTTTTACATCTTATTCAGTTGTATGCAAAACAGAAAGACTTTGACATCATGTGTCAAAAACTCAGTCAAGCTTAAAATGATGCGATTTAGAGCAAAAAATGGTGCAATTCGTGAATAAATCGCCCCAATTAGAGACAATTAGATTACAGGGACCACCAGTGATTTCAAAGTGGATGTAATAAACGATTGAATCTCGGATGTTTTTTCCAAACCTCAATTATCTTGCTCATTAACAGCAGCCGCGAGTGTTAGCAAGATTTTATTAGAGGCTTCATTTTTTTCAATAAAAAGGGGAATTTATTCTCGGTGTTAGGCAATTGTTGGCCAAGATAAGAATTCATGTGAAAATTTAGATAACACATAACTCTAAAAGACGTTTTAGAGAACGCGTTTTCTTACTTGTGCAAGAGGGTATCTCAAGATCATCTTTTCCATTCCATTTCCATTCTGTATCTGGCCCACAGCCATACATTGTAGTTGCTCCGGAATTAAAGGCGTGTCCTTCAACGCAAGACATGATGCATAGCAGTTTTCCAGATAGTTTTCGACACTTCGTTTGACCATTTCTAGGTTTCTCCAGCTTTGGACAAACTATAAAAAGGGGAAATGTGTAAATTGAGTTTACATTTCCTTAGAAATAAGTGGAAATTAATATTCACTAATCATCCGGCTAGAATTCACATTTAAATGTACTTCCTACAAGTTCTGTGTCAATAACAAAAACGAAACGCATTCACCTCTTCATTAACCATTTTTATGTGAATTATAGTCTACAATGTGCTGTTATTCTTAAGTCGACGGAATACAATATCTCATCGACACTTTATGCTACAATCCCGTTGAAAACTTGTAAGGTTTTGTATCGTTGAAAACATATTCACCTTTTTCTTCGACGATCTTATGCTCACAGTTAGTGCCATAATACCCGTCATGGCATTCACAATCGTATCGGTTTACACCATCCACACACTTTCCATTGATGCAAGGATTGGAACTGCAATCATTGATGTCGATATTGCAGTGGGTACCTGAAAACCCGAGTTGACACGTGCAGTGGTAACGGACTTCACGAGCCTCACAATGGAAAAAGTGGGAGCAATTTGTCGTGCAGTTTTCTAAAGCTGGCGGGAGAAAAGAGAGGAGAGAAAAGAAGTTTAATTGAAAGGTTAGTATTAAAAATAAATCTGAATATATATTTTACTAGTGACAACTGTAGAAAATTGATGAAGAAAATAGAGCAAAGAAAAGACATAACGGTAAATCATCCCAAAGAACCTGAAATGATAGAATCCTGATATCTACCTTTCGAAGTTCACTTGACCGGTAGAATGGTTAGAGTGGTAAAGAAAAGAATTAAGTTTTGAATGAATCCCAGGGGCAAATGACCATTTTTAAGGACAGAAGCTTCAGAGTAACAACATGGTTACCTGGTTGGGACAAGGCTAAGTATTTAGCTCACTAAGACCGAGGCAAATGTTTTGACTTAGTCTTATAACCATTTTTCTTCTAAACTTTTACTTTGCAAAGTCACTCTTTAATAACTAGGTGAACAGCATGAAGCATTCAACAGAGTCGATGTCAGTTACTGATCAGTATTTTCATGTAGATCTAGCCAACCCTCACCCTCAGTGCTTATCATTGTCTCGGAGGCGTTCTAGTTGACCAACCCTAGCATTTCACCAAGTTTTCCTGAAAATCCAGCTTAAGATTTTATACATAGAGGGGCTTTGGAAGGAGGAGGCGTCTTATCCAAGAAAAGTATTCACTCGGTCGACTATCGAACCTAATCCTCGGTATCCAGACCCTTGCGGGCTTAAAATCATGCGAAGGTGTTTCGGGCAAATTTTGAATGCTTAGCAGGTTGCTTACCTTTACATTGTGTCATAAACTTCTTCTCTACTTCTCCTTTGATCCCCAGTAAGAAGCTGCTCCACGCTCGCACACTTCCTGCAACAGGCCAGGTGCAACTGTGTGCAGCATTCCACATGTGGTCTGCAGATGCCGGTACATCCCAAAAGCTAGCTTGATGCAGAGTGCCTACGAAAGCCGTTGATTCAGTTGGCGTTTGCTCCTCTGCGAGATAACGCTGCCCCAATACGATCCAGCCACCTCCCATTATAGTGCTTCCGGTTTTTGCATCCATGGAATGTTTTACCTCCGGTCCATCCACGTATACAAACGTCTCTACAGTGATTCCATTCCAAACAACTCCCACGTAATGCCAATGGTCATCTGGCAGCTCGAAATTCGTCTTTATCACGTCATCTTTGATTTCCAAAATGATTTGAGACTCTGTAAAAGAAAGTATTATTTTGTCGCGCGGCTGCTGAGGAACGCTATAACTGAACAGTGTCCCTGACTTGTATCTTGGATCGGCACGGACAAAAAGGGCGATTGTAAACGACCTCATGCTGGGAACACTTTTGCCGTCTGACAGAAGTACCATGTCGTCTTTACTTTTACGTCTAAATATCAGATCAAAGTTGCTGCCCAGAACTGAAAAGAAAAGGCTGGTTTGAGAATAAGGCATAAACAATTGAAAAATAACCAGCAGGAAAGACGTCTTCACTTTGATGAAAATGCATTCGATCCATAAATAACTCTTACCTGAAAGAGTCCCACATTTTTATAGCTTAGATGCTGTTATGATTTAGTTAACAAATCATTCTTTTCTATATAACTGTTCGGCAGTGAACCGAAACTAAGGCCTTCTAGGCACCCTTGTTTGATGTTTTGTATTGTACCACGCATGAGCTCTACTTTCATTTCAATTACAACATTTTTTTATATTTTCAAATTTGCCACTTCCTTGTATGCATGAGGAGATTTTATCACTTCTATGGTTTTCTTTTACCTTAATTGTTTCTGCAGTAGTCGTCTTATCTAATAATAGCATTACTATAATATACCAATGATTGATCACGATACTCACAGATATCGCAGCGATCTCCCGTGAAAGAAGGGTAGCATTCACAAGTATACCCATTGACCTGGTCTTGACAATAAGAATTAGGCGTACAAGGATTGGAGACGCAGTCATTGATGTTGACCTCGCAAGTACTTCCTGTAAAACCTGCTGGACACGTACAAGAGAAGAATTCCCCACCGCTTTCAGTTTTGCATGTACCTCCATTTTCACAGGGTGCAGATAAACAAAGATCCGTCAAGTTTTCACAGTTCTCTCCGATGAATTTATCAAAGCAGTCACACTTATATCCAGGAGTCAGGTCGATACAAGAGCCATTGTTTAAACATGGACTTGATTCGCATTCATTAACTTCTGTTTGGCAATAGGTACCATTGTAACCTTCGGAACAGAGACAGGAATACCCCTGGTTACGGTCAATGCAAGTCGCGTTGTTCTGACAAGAGTTGTTTCCACAATCATCAACGTTCAGTTCACACAGCCTCCCCGTGTACCCGTCTAAACAGGAGCAAGAGAAGTCACCAATGGCATCATGGCAAGTAGCGTTGTTGAAGCAAGGTCTTGCCAAGCACTCGTCGATTTCAAATTCACAGTATTTCCCAAAATACCCGGTACTGCAGTTGCAGTAGGAATCTGTACGAGAGTTGACACAATGTCCATTTACGGTGCAGTTACCAGACTCCGAACAATAGTCCACTGGGTTTTCACAGTGGAATCCGTTAAATCCTACTGGGCACTTGCAAGTGTAGTTTAGCACACGATCCAAGCACGTGCCATTGTTTTGACATGGACTGGACACGCATTCATCTATGTTCATGTCACATCGCTGGCCTGTAAATCCAGGTTTGCAGACCCAGAGGAATGCATTAAGCTGAAAAGTGAAAAATTTAATCCTTTGAGATATTATAAATTTGATAAATTGTAACTAACCTATTAAAAAAAAGAACAGCGGTTAGTCTCTCAAAGGGAACATCTTTCTGTGGTAGTTTAAAATCGCGAATTTACAACGCTGCATTGTAACACATTTACAACGCAGTGTCTGGAGTTTGTATCAAATACGTATCTGCATAGCCCAGTAGTACAACAGAAATACTTCATAAAATATAACATGAGGTACCTGATCAAAACATGTCCCACCATAGTCACATGGAAAAGATGCACATTCGTCAATCTCCGTGCTACAATCGTCCCCCGAAAAGCCTGGGGTACATTCACAACTATAACCGTTTACTTCATCTTTACAAGTGGATCCATTTTTGCAATAGTTCACTGCACACTCATCGATATCAACCTCACACTTGGTTCCACTGAATCCATCATTGCAGATGCAGGTATAACTATGCAACTGGTCCACGCACGTAGCATTGTTGTTACAAGGAGAACTAGCACAGTCGTTGATGTTCACGCTGCAGTTTTTTCCTGTGTAACCCAACTTACAGTTGCATTGATAGTCGTTTACGAGGTCTGTGCATGTTCCATCGTTGACGCATGGGTTTCCCGCACAGTCATCAACATTTATCTCGCAATCAATGCCAACAAAACCTTCCGCACATGCGCATTCATACTTGCCTATGCCGTCAATGCAAGTGCTGTTGTTCATGCAAGTAGCATTTTTGCAATTGTCCACATTGATTTCGCAGCGCTCCCCTTTAAAACCATCTACACACTGACACGTGAAAGATTTGGTGTCATCCAGACATGAACCGTTATTGAAGCAAGGCTTCGAGGCGCAATAGTCGATGGCTATGTTGCACAGTTCGCCCGTAAAACCAGGCGGACATACGCACGTAAAATTGTTAATACCATCGTGACAGGAACCATTATTCGAGCAAGGGCCCGTAGCGCAGTCGTCGATGTTGTTCTCACAGTGTAAACCATCGAAACCATCTTGACAATCACATTTGTACGCATTAACCATATTGACGCAATGTGCTTGGTTTTTACAGGGATTAGAGAAACACTCGTCAATGTCAGTCTCGCATGTCTTTCCAGAAAATCCCTGTTCACATTTGCAGAAGTATCCGTTTATCTCATCAATACAAGTAGCATTGTTCTTACAGTCTGCCGTTACACATTCGTCAATGTCAATGTCACAATTACTACCAGTAAAGCCCTTTGGACAAAAGCATTGATAGCTGCCAATACCGTCGATGCATTGGCCTCCGTTCTGACAAGAGTTGCCTGCACAGTCATCAATATTCTCTTGACAGTTATCCCCCTGATATCCCAAAACACAGATACACTTGTAGTTATTGAAACCGTCTCGGCAAGTACCTCCATTTTGACAAGGGAATATAAGACAATCATCGCTGTCAATATCGCAGAGGGCCCCACTGTAACCAGGTTTACACTGGCATTTGTATCCTCCGGGGAGATTCTGGCAGGACGCGTTGTTGGCACATGATAACGAATCACACTCGTTGATGTCCTCTTCGCAGTTATTTCCACGGAAACCTTGTGCGCAAGTGCAGGTGTAATTGTTAACAAGGTCAGGGCATGTGCCATTATTGAAACAAGGTTGGTCTTGACATTCATCAATGTTGGTCTCACACTGCTTTCCAGTGTAACCGTAGGTGCAAGAACACAGGTAATCTCCAATGAGGTCTGTACATGTGGCGTTGTTGCTACAAGGGTCTGATTTGCACTCGTTGATTTCTATAGAAACATCACAAGCAGAAGGAAAAAGAAATAATTTTGATATATCAACAAAGTTCAAATGGTAAATTGGCCACCGTAACGATTACAAAAGCTGACCTTTCGAGCGTTAGCCCTTCGCCGGAGCAAATAGAGGAATTGTGGGTTGTGTGTGCTTTTAAAGGCAGAAAATGGAGCTACGTTATTGGTGGGAAGAAGGAAAAAGTACTTACTAAATTTTGAAAAAAAAAAAAGAAAAAAATCTTTTAAGTAGAACGAGTAAACCATAGTTTCCTTTTAAGAAAGTATTTTCAGGTCCGTGTCTGTTTATTTTTGGAGATTAAGTTTAGTCTTGAAAGAATCATTGTTTTATTTATCTTTTTTTCAATTATTTGCTTTCATAAATGAGGCATTAAACAGATCGTTACGTATCACTTTAATACTTTATTTATGATGGTTAAGGTGTGTTATCATATTAGGTTTCAAAGCTATTGATTCCTGACTTATTTCAATTTTTTCTCGCCCAGCATCACTTCAATCAAGGTTTCAAAGCTATTGATTCCTGACTTATTTCACTTTTTTCTCGCTCTGCATCACCCCTATCACTATCAGCTTAAGGACTAGTTCTTTTACTTTGCAACCATAGTTGATACAATGCCAAAGTACGGAGTTTTCAGAATTCCCACATTTCTACCATGAATTACAGCCATAAGACTTAATCGCGGACTATCTTTAATTTCGCTTATGAAATAAGATGATTAAAAATGCGGAGGCCTAATTTCTCTTAGGTTATCTAACCTATGCAATCTTGTGCAGTCTTTGATCCGGGAAATACAGTTACAGTGGTTCCTGGACATGAAAAACATATTCGACTCTCATTACGTGGCTGGAAAGAGCGTTGGTCGCATAAAGAGCACGGTGCCAATCCAGTGGAAGAAAACGAGCCAGGGGGGCAAGGCTCTGTAAGAGGAAAGTGAACATAAATGTTTAGGTGAGATTTTGATAACCGTTACCTTTGCAGTGCAGTAGATATACTCAAAAGGGGGAAAAGAGATTTTTGTGAGAGTTTGCACAAACTAAAAATTCACGGAAGCCAATTAAAGATGGAGGTTTTAAGACACCTGACTCTAGAAACATGAGCTCTTATGCTAACGAGTTGAAGAAGAAGATGGGTGCGAGAGAGGGAACAGTTTCTGTCTAGAAATTGCTTCATATGGGTAACGAAGGTCTAACGTCTTCTGCAAAAGTAAACCATAATATTAGTCCGCAGCGTAACAATTCTGCATTCTTATCATTGTAAAATCAATTGAATCACATCATAAATGATTAACTCCCAAAGCATATAGGTTGAAGCTAAATATTTTATTCGAAGAGATTAACATTAAATAAACCTTGTATTACCATACGTATGAAATTACTCCTAAGACATACCTCCACACAGCATAGAGCTATTGGAACCTTCGGATGTCGTTGTCTGGTTTACTGCACATTGAGAGCAATATTTCTTACCATCCACTTCTTGGTAGGAGCCCTTATCGCAAGGGAAACATGGCTCAAGACCGGTGGGGGAGTAAGAACCAGCTTTGCAAAAGGCTAATAATATATTTAAAAAGAGTGATTAATATGTATTGATAATAGTAATGATGTAATGTTATAATTAATGTTGTTATCATCAATAATGATGTCATTAAATATTGAGCCTAAAAGGTTCTGCAAAGGGAGCCACACTATTGACATCTTCAATTTGTTAGCGAGACCTCAGAGAGATGCCAACAGGTTTCTGATAAGTCTCTTGGCCGAAGCAAAACACTACTTCATATGAGCCGCGACACTTTCGAAAGTGTTGGACAATTATTTTCAGGTTATTTGATGCTTCTTTGGTTCTAGCTTGTCTGAGCAAACGAAACGACTTGCAGAATGTTAAAGCAGCTCTTTTAAAAGAATAAGCTATGATTACCAAAACAGCTGGAGCGGTTTGCGGTTCTTGATTCTATGGTGGAGGTTCCTGGTGGACAGGGCAAACACTGTTCTTGTCCTTCAGAGTCTTGAAAGGCACCATGAGGACAGTCTTGGCATTTTTCAGTGGTTTTGTTCAGAAATGTTCCAGAGCTGCAGTTTACTATAGATTGTAATTATGAATGTCATCAGAAGTTGAATTCTCTTTTACAGGCAAAGGAATTATCAAATAAGGACGCTTTTCAGTAATTAATGAATCCAATGGCCATTTGTATTTGGCTTCATTACAAACTGTAACATCTTAAGTTGAAGGACATCAGCGTTGGAGCAAAGTAAAAGCAAAATCAAGGGAAGTTAAAATTTCACCGAAAGCTATCATCATAGCTGCGCACCTACCCCTTCCCTAATTAAACATACATCAGTCAACTGGCGACAAGTAAGGTTTAATTTTGGGTTAAGGGAGGGGTGGCTTGCAATTACAAAGGTACTGAAATTTATCTTAACTTTTAGGGAATTTTCGCAGGGCTTAGTCCTTGTGTCCAATCCCTAAAACTAAACGCTAATACCATATGAAAAGTTCGCAAGACTTACGACAGAATCCATTCCTGTAAATCTGACCCTTATTACAAAGACGCTGAGGGGTTGAGATGTTGAGCGATTTTATGTCGGGGACAAACTCTGAGCCATTGACTGTGAAGCGAAAGCTGCCGTTTTGAGCTGCTTGTTTAATCAGACTGCCAATGTTGTAGGCAATTTTCACCCCTTCTTCTCCGATCATGATCTGACCTTCGTCGGTGTCGTTTCCTTCAATTCCATCAAGCTCGACTACGAGAGATACACAGTTCAAATAACTTTGTATTCTTTAACCAATACAACCCTAAATAATATCACATCGAGATGCCAAACTAAATAATTTATATCACTAGCCCCTCTCTAACTCATCATTTTAGCGGACATTAAAATGCTCAGGAACTACTCTGACAACGTCTGTTGTTGATGGATGAAGATAGGACTAGGCTGGTTCGATTTTCAAATACTTTTATTCGCAACAACACCGGTCACGTTTCATCCAACTCATATTGTTTTTATCTCCTATTACACACGAGCACGCGGCCCATAACAACGAACTAATATGTCATTTACCAACATACAAACGGCAAAAAGAATAAGTTAAGGAGCGGGAGGGATAAGGTCGGTAGTCGTTTTGGATTCCATAGCCGCGGAGAGGCTATGGAAAAAATCCAGTAGTATCCAATACCCCTAAAAATGATGACCTTTCAGCTATAAGCCTTTTATCAAGGGTGTAGCCAGCTTTCCCCTTTGTTATAGGCCTATACCTATGGAAAGTTCAATTTTTCTTGCAACATTTTCAAGAGCGTTATTATAAATCACCTCGTAAATCACATTAGAGCAAGTCACATCATGTAACATTACATCACATCACATCGCGCATAACATTACATTATTATACATTACATCGCATCATGTCACATACCATATAAAAATCCATCATACTACATATCACATTGTATAACAGAGCATCGAATTACATCACATTACATAACACCACATCGCAACACATTACAGCGCAACATGCAACATGATCTAAATAAAAGTTGCATATGCCTCAATAGAACGTCAGTAGACTTACCAATGATCTCGACAGCGACTCTAGTTTGTGGAATGGATCGCCTTTCTCTGAAGTGTTTGTTATCGCCTGTTAATTGCATACATTAAAATCCTCGTAATCTATTTCTGACATGTTAGATATAAAAGACGATGCAGTCTAAGAGAATAATTTGAAAGGATATATGTTGAGAGGGAAAATCTCCGATGAGCTTAAGAAATGTCTTAGATTGACCTCTTTTGATTGTTAACATCCACATTTGCGCCTTCCTAAGGAAGAGTTGTAATTCCCAGCTCTGTCTCAGAATAAAGACGCAAGTCGATCTGTATGATTTTGATCATATCTCACCAGGACAGCTTTGTCATTCATGTGGGGTCGTCTATCGTATGCTTAGAAATGATCATGGATCTTCACGAAAATTTTTAGCAATCTTTCAAGATGTATTGAATACCCTCTGAGTTTGTCAGAGACTTAATATAGATCCAAACCTCGATGATCTTTACAAGGCCATGTTTTTAAATTGTTGGCATAGCAACGTACGTGTAAATACCCTTCCTATGCCTCTCTTTGGAGTGTCAATTCTATCATTGACGAGGTTAACATGCAGACAAAAGGACAGCATTGGACTAATTGAAACCTGCTATCCTGAAAGGAGCCCAAACAACTTACCTATCGAGCGCTTTTTTCTGTTGCCAACAGACTCGTCGATCTCCCCGCACGTTACCACAACGTTCTCAGCTTTACACTTATCTCTGACAGATGGATCTTGACAGGCTTGACTATAACGTACAGACCCGTTGAGAATCTTTATAAAGAGCTGTTGTATTTGAGTCCTGGTTTCTTCTGTGTTACAATCTCCATCATAGTAGTGCAATTCCATTGCCATTATCACTCTATTGGGATGAAATTTTACTGCAAAGATTTAAGAAACGAAGTATTACATTACAATTGTCTTTTTTTTATTGGAATACTAGTTTTAGACAAATTTTAACGCACCTTCATTTTTGACTTCGTGAATTCAGATAAAAAATTAGTGAAAAGACACCGCTGTTCATCTTGAGGTTTCAATTATTATTTTCTCTAAGCATTGCATGTGAAATGCTCCACCCTCGGGAATTCTACACCAGTATAGATACACACTGATTTCGGCCCTTGTCTATCAGGTGGGGACTGCGGATCTTATAGATAAAGTGTCCCGGCGTTACTCTATTCAGTTTTTTTAAGGACTAACTAACAGAAGCTCGAATGCTACTCTCATTCACACCATTAAATACTTCGTATTTTTACAATAAGAGAAAAAATTTCTCCCTCTTCGGAGTGTTATGGGAACCAATGCCGGCCAAAATAAGTCCTACTGACACCCCCAGAGTACTCTAAAGCCCCCAATTACATGCTTATTTCTCCCACCATGCTTTGAGAGCATATTTAGTTTGCATTTACTGCAGGCTGCTCAAAAATGTCTTTTCTTTTCGTTTCGCTTCGTTTCTTATGCTTGTTTGTTTGTTTCGTTTTGTTTTGCTTATGTTCTTTCATTTTTAAATGCTGCTTACTTGTGCAGTCTGGCCAGCGTTTTGGAGGAAACCATGTACCCGATCCTCCACAAGCCCAAACGCTGACCCGCAGAGGATCGCTAAAATCATATCGACTGTTACAAGACGGTGTACACATCGTTCCGAAAATCCAGTCATCACAAGCCTTGGCTCCGTTGATAGGTGCTTTCAGATCCTTGCATTCTTTCGCTGAGAAAGGAAGTAGACAGTTACTTGTTCTCTAGTTAGTTTCTTTTTTCTTCAAAGTTTGGTAACAATTAAGGCGCAAGAAGAAAAGTTTTAAACGACGAATTTAAAAAACTTATACTGGAGCGATTTAATCTAGGTATAGTTTCAACAGTAGTTCGTATTCCGTGATGATTAAGATACCGTAACAAAAAGAAAAAAAGGGAATGGTTTTCAAACGCGGCCCTGTTTTGTTTTGCAGTTCCGTGAGTCTTGGATTATTATGCCGTCGATTCAAAGTTATCTTTTCGAGATCTAAGTATCTAATAAATGTTTTTGATATTTCACCCATCACACGCGTTAATGCATGATAATAATAAAATGAACTGCATTCACAACTTTTATTTTCAGTTTTCTCGAAGGTTTTTGGTTTTTTACGATCAAATCTAAGAATGCGTTTGCATTTTTTCTTTTCCCTCCAAGAAGCGCCTTGATAGAACTATCTGAAGTACTCACATTTTGACTTATTCGTAGTACCACGGCATCATTGAATTACCGTATCATTTCTTCCGGTAATGTTATTTTAATCTTTATTTTTTCTTCAACTTGGATTCACAAAGAAAATGGACAAGAGAAGTTTGAGTTCTCAAGCAGATGCAATTGAAAATATTGCTGAAAATAAAGATTTTCTAGAATCACGTAGCTTGAAGGTATAGACTGTGTACCGACAGCTCTTGCAGGGAATCATATTTGGTACTTACGTCTTATCGTGAGGTCAAATTTACAGACTGCTGGTTCGTTTTCCGGGTTGTTATCATATGCCATACAGTGTATTGTATAGCTTCCCCAGTAGAAGACAGTGCCACTTTTTCGATTGCACGTTATATGCAGCGGGCCGTTGCTGTTGTCTTTAAACTGAGGATCTGGCCATGTAACGACTTTTTGTCGGTTATCTGAGGTAATGTTTCGACTTGAAGGGCAGAAAACGACCACAGGACCTGAGTTATCTAAGAAATTGACCATAAACCCATAGTTAACCTTTATTTTTATGAGAAACATAAAGAGTCTTACGGTCAGAACAAGACGATTTGCACATCTAGGGAAACATTTATCACCACAGATCAGAAACTCAATGTGCTTTTATATACAACGTTCGTAATTTACAAGACCGTTTCATTTCCAAACACGTTGAGCAGGGTTGCGAGCAGAAAGGGCGAAGGTAATGTTGTCTAGTCAAACTAGAACTCCATTAATACCAAAGGTTATGCATGTTTTGAAGCTGTTTAGTTAAACCCGGTTTAAAATTGTTTTCTTTATCGAAGCTGCGTAAACCAATGTTTTTCGACCATAAATATACAACTTAGTTATTAAGTGAATCCACTGAAGAGATCAGTTTTTCAGCTCGCTGTCTCTGATTTTCTTTCAGCTAAACATGGTTTAACTAAACATAATTGCTGGTGTAAATTGGGCTATAGGATGTTTCTAAGAACAATGTTCCCTTTACCAAATGCAGATACCTTCCGAAGAACACAAAAATAAAGTAAAACTTAACAATTTGGTTAAAGCGTTGTATTCAGTTGAATTGTAAAATGTTTTGTCCTCCAAAAAGTTTACCTTCCGGTATTATTCTAAAAGAGCACTTGGCTACATTTCCGCTTGGATCCTTGGCCTTGTACTCAACGAAGAGTGTCTCATTTATCACGTGAGGTGGCTTAATCCCGTGAGGGTAGACTGTCACTTGTGGTACCACGTTACTATCGTCCAATGCAACTGGAACGGTCCAATTTGCCATTGCTGTTGAATTTGCGTTGAGGTTTACACGAATGTCTGAGGGACAATTCCTAAATACAGGGGGTGACACATCTGCAAAGATCGATATGCAACAACAGAATAACGTTTGGCAACAAGTAAATGGTAGCTCATTGTGATCTTTTCCCAATTATATCATGAGCATTTTGATTGTTTTTTTCAACTTGTGATCCATTTGAGGACAGACGAATAGAGAGTAGAAGTAGTCATCAGTCCTTCATCAGAAAACGATGGAGTAGTCCCTATCGCATGTGAACCCAGGCGCTTGTTCACGAATTACGAATAAATAGCATCACTATTGTCAACCTATGCTTTATCGTCATATGAAACAATTGCAAATCGGTTCTATGTTGTCGTAACTAGGTGCAGTGATAGATCTTTGATGACGTCAATGTGGTAAGAACACCACTGTCACACAACTGCACCTAGTGTGCAACTCTTTTGACGTCATCTGCGATCTATTGCTGATCTATTACATGGTAACATGCAATCTCTTTGTTAAATTTTCTCCACACACCGAGTCAGATTTAATAGACTGTAACAACAAACTCAGGGTAACGCACTATCACTTATGGCAATTCCTCAAACAAAAATATAAACTGCTTACCTAGGCATTTTAATATCGAGGAAATGTTTTTGCTCCACTTCCCATCATTTCCACAATATACCACAGTTTCTCCACCATTTTCGTGAAAACCATTCCTGCATTCGAAGTAACAGGCTGTTCTGCTGACTGGAGACGACTTACACATGCGGGGGTAGATAAAGCCGTACTGTGGAGTACTCAGAGAAAGACATCTCCGCGCTGAGAACAAGCAACGCAAATGATATGTTTAAGTTGTTTGCGTACTTTCCGATGGAATGACAAGCAATAATCCAATAATTAGTAGAATCACATTACTGAATAAAATCTCGTATTCTGATTGGTCAGCGAAGCGCGGTATTTAGCGTGGAAATGCGAGTTGAAAACGAGGCTAAGTGATATTGTTTCGCATCTACGTGTAAATAACAACTATGAGTAATGCTGTTTTTTTTCTTATTTCTACTCAGTTATGCGATTCAAGGAAAATCCATCACTTGAATCTTAAATTCCGCGTTAAATTGCACTTGAAAACCGATATCGTACTCATCGATTCGTGCGATATCGGTTTTCAAGAGCAATTTAATGCGGAATTCCCTCGTCAAGTAATGAATTTTCCTATAATATCGTTGTAGTGTTTGCAAACATCGTGGGTTAACTTTGAGTTTTGTTTTTTGATATGGATTCACTTCATACATATCATTCTGTTGAGATAAAGATTCGCTTTCTTCTTAAATTCCTTTTGATAGTGGTTTCATTTTATGAAATTTTTACTCATTCGAGTTAAATCTATAACGACTGACAAACATTAGTTTCAAGAAAGTCATCCTTTACAATTTATTGCTTTCAAAAATTTTGCAGTTTATTCTACTTTTAAAAAGGCAGTGCTTCGGCCAAATAAGATATATACTCTTCACGGTTGAGAATTTAAGAAGTTACAAATAGCACGCTGAATTTCATTAAAAAGACTGAACGTTGAAACATTCTATCCTTTCATTGTTGTGCTAAAGACACTGTGTACCAGATTGGTAACAGGTAAGTAGGGTTTCTATATAATTCGATGCGCGGTGTAGTCAATCTTTCAAATTATTTAAAAGGATTTGCGTCTGACATTCCGACCACCTTAATTTCTGATGCTCATTGGATGCTCTATTAATATCAATAAAAAAGTAATATTTTTGTCGTATAAAGGAATAAATTTATTATCTACCCTGGCAGACTGGGAAAGAACCGTTCCAATATCCTGTTATATGACCTGGTTTCCTGAGGCAAGTAAGGATGCTCGATCCATCTAAGTTGTAGCCATCCTTGCAAGCCACTTTACACGTCGAACCATAAATGTTGTCACAATCTCCTGAAAAAGATCCTTCCAGCGGAGGGAGTAGTGTCTGACATCTCAAGACTAGAAAGGGGAAATAATATTAGCAAAGTGGCATTGATCGTTTGGTTTAATTTAAATATGATTACTTATTGATGTTGGAGCTGAAAATGGATAAACATAAATTCAAAGTAAAAAGTTAGTATGGTTTGCACCACGTAACCAAGATCGCAAACTAAACAGACAGCCCAAAATCATTACCAGTTAGGGGCTAAGATTTGTTTTGGCGTCAATGAAAGACACTGCTTTAACAAATGCTGATCAGCATGTGCATTTTAACTGTGATATCATGAACACCACAGATATTTCGCTGTAAATGCCAAAGAAAACAGGTCCTTTTGCTATTTTTCTTTTTGACAAAGTTCAGCCTTTGGAAGTAAATATTCATAGCACCTATAACGAATTTGACCTATATTATAATATGATGCGACATCAACCAGGATAGTTAAAAGTAAATTTGTCTTTGTGAGTAGTTGATGGGGTAAATTAGGTAAAATTTAGTATCAAATCTATGTTCATCGTGATCAGTTGCCTTTCCAAGACTGCTTCAGGCTAGGAAGCATTCATGTTACAAACGATTTCCGCGATCAGTCCTCTCTTCTTGCGAAAAAAGACTGTTAAAACCAAATTTACGTTGATAAGCCCTACAAGATCGCTCACTACTTTTCCTGAACGTGGGGAAAGCTTTAAATAGTTTACCCTCGACGGAGATGTGAAACTTGCAGATCTTGAAATTTCCCGCTCCATCAGAAGCGTTGTAACTGACTTCGTACTTCCCACTGTAGTATATGCCTTGCACACCTCTAGAAGTCACATTCGGTGCCAGACCAGAGTTGTCAGTGGCAATAACGGGAGGCCAGGACACTTGTGTATAATTTTTTCCCTTGTCTGCATACGTCTTGATATCACTTGGGCAGGTTAAACCAAAGGAAGGGCTTTCCACGTCTGTAAGTAAAAATAGTTGCAATTGTAATTTCTTCCTAATTGATTGAAGAGTAACGTGCTCATGTTCGGTTTTGGAGAATGGGTTAACCAAGCCAAAAGGAGAAAATAGGGTTGACGTAATAGGGATTTTGAAAGTTTCCTAACTCAAATCAAAGTCATAAAACATGCCCCGAAGAGCATATGGATTCCAATACACGTAAGCTCTAAAAGCTAAGACTGACAAACGTCCTGAAGTGAGAGAAAAAAGAAGTGGCGAAGTCATACGTGGTTCAAGAAATTTCTCTTAAATCATCGAAGGGTAAACGTGAGCTATTTCTACAATTTGCATTTAAGATTTAAGACAAGATGAAGAAAACCTGATGTAGGTTCGAATATGGTGCAACACACCATTAAAAAATATTTTATCAGTCTAATTTTGGTTTTTTAAGAGGTTCTTTTGCGCCGTTTTGCAGTCGGTGACTTGTGAAGAAAAACTTGATTTGACGGTTGAAACTCTGATTCATTAGTAAAACAAAACAAAACATAGGCCAACTTGGAACTAGAAAAATAGTACTTCAGTGACAAGATGCATATAAATCTTATTTTTTTCTAAGCCGTGTTTTTGCATAAATACCATCAAATCGACTGTATAAGAGGAGTTCAAAAGCCCTGGCAGCACCTGTATTGATGGCCTTCTGAAATATCTGAGAGTAATTAAAACAAGATCCCAACTTGTGAATTTTTTAAGCCCAGCTCTTCCTTGATCTCTCTTTCTAACCTTTGCACATTGCAGTGACATTTTTTGACCACCTTCCATCTCCAAGGCAAGTAGCTATTGGCTCTCCATGCAGTCTGTAGCCATTTCGGCAAGAGAAAAGACAAGTAGTGTAGTACTTCGGACTGGATGTGCATGAGCTTGGAGTAATATCGCCATCTATTGGAGTTTGTAATGACTTACAGCGGACAGCTATCAAGGAATGAATTTCGTCAGTCAACATCATTTTTAATGTGCATTTTTGTTCATGAATGTAATGAAAATTATAGATTAAAAATTATCGTGTTTGAAAGTCTTGAGAAGTTGCAATCGTTCCAGTTACGACAAGGAGGAAACTCCTTACTGAACATGAAAAAAATAGAGGAAACAAAAAGGAAAACGAGAAAAATAATTTGTTTTGCTTGTTAGCTGTTGATCCAATTTGTTGGCTTTACATCTGACAATGGAAAGGTTTTTCTTCTGAAGCAGAACTCATTGAAGCGCATACCCCCTCTAACATACTGGTCATATTTATTATCTCATTTGATTGCAAATAGGACAAACAAAAACTATTTCTTATATCTTTTCTCCTTAAAAAAGAAGACCAAAAATAAATAGTCTATAACTTCTCTTTAAATATAAAATTTAATCAAGTGGAAAGTGTATCCAGGTTTCTAAATTTTCGCTACCCCCCCCCCCCTTCCCTTCCCCTTACCTTCACAGTAGGGCTCCTCTCCCGACCACGTACCGTCAGCTTGGCAGATTCTCTCAGTGGATCCGTTTACGCGCCGGTACCCGACATCACAGTACAACAGACATTTGTCACCATAAGAGTTATCCAAAGAGCCACGTCCACATCCGTATTGCGTAATGTGGGTGGAAGAATTGAGACGCGGGCACCTGATCACTAAACAAAAATGGTCAAAGTTATTTTTGCGAATTTCTTTAACCTAAATTTCTCGGACTGTGTTTCTGTTCAAAGTGCAACTTATTTTTTTTTTTTTCAAATCATTGCATAGAAAAAATGTGTTCCTATCACTTTAAGAAAGTGGCTACTATCTTAGAAGGCTAACTCAAACGAACTGAAAGGAGGGGATTGCCTCTTTCATCTCTAGCTTTGATGCTGTTAACTGAGAAAAAGATCTTTATCTTTTATGTAGTGCTCTCTGATGGATTTTGACTTACATTCACATTTTGTCTCGTTTCCCGTCCAGAAGCCTAAAGAAGTAAGTGGGTCCTTCTCGCACACCCTAAGCGTGGAGCCTATCATCTTGTGTCCAATGTGACAGGTAAAGGAACATTCGGATCCATACTGATTCCCTTTAGTGCAAAGAGAGCTCCCTCCCGCTGGAGCTTGTAACTTAGGCAAGCATCTCAAAACTGTAGAAATTAAAAGACCAAAAAAAAAGCGTAGGTGGAGAGTGGGAAGGCGCAAACGCAAGGATAACATTATGAAGTGAGCCAAGACTTTCGCCGTAGGTTGGATGTCTTTTTTTCTCTCAATGCGTAAGTAATACTACATTCATTCGATCCCCTTTAAATATCTCAGCATGTATTTTTACACTGATTTTTTCAGGTCTGATTTTCGCTATTGCATAAATAGCGCAATCTACTGCGAAGGATCGAATCAACTTAACGGCCTGCTCCCAGTTGGCTTGTTAGCTCAATTGGTAGAGCGCTGCACTGGTATCGCAGAGGTCAGTGGTTCGAATCTCGTACAGGCCTGATTTCTTTCAGGTCTGATTTTCGCTATTGCATAAATAGCGCTGTCTACTGCGAAGGATCGTGCATCATACGTATTTAATACCGCAGTTCAAAATATATGAACTTCATATATTCATTGTATATGTATTTTTATAATGGCAATTTCCGCTGCTATAAATAAGCTTTGCAGTTTTCTGTAAACAGGTGACGACAAGAGAGGAAATCTTTTTTAAACCCTGCCATACCGAAGCGATTAAAGTAGAATTTCTGTTTTATCTTGCCTTTCAATTGGAACTTCGGCGCATTTTTACAAAAACTTACCTTGAACAAAGATCTTGAATCTACATTCGGCAATGTTCCCTGTTCTATCAGATGCTAAGTAACGTTTATTGTGCTCCCCAGCGGAAAATCTGCTCCCAGGTTGTTTTCCGAATTGGGTAATGTTGGGAACAAGGCCAGAGTTGTCTGTAACTGTTGGATGAGCCCAGGTCACGTGAGCTGACGTTTCACCTCTATCAGCAGTGACGAAAATGTTTGAGGGGCAGCCTGCAAAGACTGGCGCGGACACATCTGAAAAATAGTTCAAAGCAAAAACGTTAACTCAAGAAAGCAAACATGAGAGAGATGAATATCAAAATAGAATGGAAAATGATAAATGTGGCCAACTTCAGGTGACCCAACGAAGGATCTTCCAAATAAGACTGAGGAGTTACGAAAACACTATTAGGTTAAGTTAGAATGCTTATCCTAGTTTTTTATGAGCTAACTATAGACTCTCTGATGTTTTAGGCCTTTAGGAAAATGCACTCTGGGAAAGTTGCGGCCACAAGATAATTTCTAAATGTCAATTTTGAATAGGATCCTAAAAGCCTATTGGCCTTTGTGATAAATATTCATTTTACTCTTCATGTTGTTGTTGGAATTCAAAGAAAAAGGTCTGACTTTAGTTTCGCTAGTTACTCGACTCTCAAAGTGATTAATAATCACAAAAAAGTCAATGATTCAGAACCTTCCTCAAATTTGATAGGGTACTCAAATAGCTGTTTTCCTAAAAACAAGTAAGAGTAGCAATAAACAGGTTTGTTTCACCTTTGATATTTGCACCATTTAAAATGATCAGTTTTGTTCATAATAATTCAGGTTAATTTTTATTTTGGCATTATGTTCACTCAAAACTCGTTGGACTGGAACTGATACGCACAATGTTTCTCCAAATACCCTGAACTGCTTTAGCATATAAAGGTGTTCACCCGTGAAAGTAAATTAGCTAATGAAGACAAACCTTTACAAGAGGGGTTTCCCAGAGGAGACCAATCGTTGTTCTGATTGCAAGTCTTGACTCCAGGCCCACTCTGCTGATAGCCATTCTTACAGGAGAACCAGCATTCTGATTTGTGATGTATGACAGCAGTTGCGTTCGTACAGAATGCTGGGCTGATAATCAGTTCTTTAGATTTAATAGAAAACGGGGGGCAGGTGATAGCTACGAGAAAACGGAGCGAGGTTAGTTAAAAGAGATGGCTCATACTTTAAGTTTAGATGTTTGCTGAAATTACAGCAAACAATTTGCGGCTAGGGTCGGATGGTTCGAAGCTGGGTTAAGGTAACCCAGGGCTATTCTGGAATCAAGTAACAGGTCTGAATGCTTTAAAGGAAAATTCAACACAAATTTTTGTACAATTTGATCACTGGATTCTCTAAAAAGAAAAGAAAAAAATTATCTCAAAAGGCTTTTGGAATGAGGAAAGGAATGGAAGAAACCCAGATCAAATTTTAACCTTGGGTTAACGCTAATCGGCCTTTGAACAACAGGACTCTCCAGATCCCTATTTTTGCAAAATGATCCTAAAAAACCAACCAATTAGGTACGAATGCAATAATGTTTGTTGCGTAGAGAAGATAATACATTACGTTTATCCAGTTATAGGTGCAAATCAACTAGGTTTTGTGAGAGGATTAAGAGAGAGAAGACTTGGTTCAAGATTTGTCTTAGATAATTACCCTTGCATAGCTCCATTATACTAGTGGCTACGTTAAAATATATTTTTCCATTTGTTGCCTCGGATTGGATAAAAGGGGCAACATTTCATTGAAATATATTTTCCCTGTACCTTTACCTAACTCATGATATACAGTCTTAACATTACATTGACACGCCCAGCGGTATGCACGCGTGTCACATCTGGACCTCGTAATGGCCCAGTTCACAATGAATTCTCTTGGCTTTATGGTAGAGCATCAGAATGCGGAATACGAATGTCCTTATCAAACCATCAATTTTAAGCAAGGAATAAGATTTTTCAGGCAAAGAGGAAAAGGAATCATAATTTTCTTCATACCTTCACACCGAAGTTGGGTTCCACTCCACATTCCGGTCTGCAAACACGTTCGTTTCTGCGATCCGCTCACCATGTAGTATCCCGTCATGCAAGTGAAGAAACAGGAAGTGCCGTATGTAGAGGATACACCAGTACAACCATAACCTGATTTAACTGTGTTATCTGGATTATCCAGGGCAGGGCATTGAAGAGCTGGAAGGAAAAACAAGATTTTAATGATCGGAAAATTGGGTCTTTATCACAACATACTGCCAAAATGTGTGCATGGTTTCTTAAGTGAGGCATGGTTCAATTTCTACCACCCTACATTTATATTTGTGAGAACGTAAGGCAGGCATTGGCCTTTCTTTGAACATCTATGATTTTTGGAAAAGTAAATATTTTTGTTATTAAACAAGTGCACTACCAAAACGCCTTGTTGAAAATAAAAAGTGGTGCGAACTTATTTAATTTTTTTTTAAAGGACAGTTCAGAACTATCCTCAATCATCATAGTTGTCGTTCTTGTCCGAATTTTCGTCGTCATCGTCATTATAAAACTTCGTCCTCGTCACCTTCATCTTGATAGAAAGGCTTCATAGTTTTATAATGCTAGTTGCCTGCTTTTGGTTGACTGAAAAATTAACTCATGTCATAGTTTCTTACCTTCACAGTAAGTGTCATTTCCCGTCCAGTGTAGTACACTTGTCCCAGTTTTTTTGTCACATTTTCTTTCTTCAGATCCTTTTATTTCGTATCCTTTATTGCACGTCAAGCGACAGGTGCTACCATACAAGTTTCCACAGGCAGTATTCTCCAGTCTTCCATTTGCAGGAATGAACAGAACGGGGCATCGAAGCACTAAAAGTAAAAGAGAGGTAGTAAAGAAAAAAATGCTCAGAGAGGATGCTTCTCCTAATCATCTGTAGAAACTAAATAGTAATTTATTTGAGAACCACGTTGCAGATGGTCCTGAGAATTTCCTGGTGCGAACAGAACAGCAACGAAGGGGAAAGTAAAGGGGAGCTGGTAACAAGTATGCATTAACTGGCTGCTTCTTTTAATCAAATGTACAAAGTCAATGTCTATAATATTTCTTGAAAGAAAGAACAGCATCCCCAAAAAAGACTTAATAGACTTGTCTTTCTATCCTGTTATTGTGCCTGAGAAAGTTTTTCTTTATCAAACAGGTTTCAAAAAAGGGAAGTCATCCTTTGCTGTTGCTTTTTCTTAAAATTTTCTTACTAGATTACCGCTCGATTGAGCATCAAACAAATAAATCACAAAAAAGCTCCCCCCTCTGCATCCCGAATTCGACATCATTTGCGAATTTTTTTAATCGAGTAGTTGTGGAACTTATCCCGACGATTCTCTTCATTTTAAACGATACTTTATTTACGGGTGCGTCACGTGCTCAATACGATGTTGCTAAGAGAAGAACTTACTGATACACTTAGCCTCGCCCACCCTTCAACTCTAAGATAATCCTCAACAAGCTTATCTAGAGTCAACGTGGCTAGTGTCCTGAAATTATGTCAATCGTACTTGGCGTGATCCAAAGCCATGATAACAAAAGAGAAACTACCCATGTATGTAATGATTTCTTTATGTAAGATTGAAGTATGTTAGCTAGATTGTTTTCTATGCATTGATCGTACAATTACCTTGGACAGTGACTTGAAAGTGGCATAACTGCACGTTCCCGGATGGATCAGTTGCTGTGTAGGTTACGGAATGGCTTCCCTCAGAAAAAATGTGAGGAGATGTCACGGGAGGAGACACAGTCACGATGGCCTGATCATTATCAGTGGCTATCACTGGTTCCCAGCTTATTGTGGCCGACGCTTTCCCTTCGTCAGCAAAAACACTTCGCGCAGATGGGCAGGTTTCACCAAATGAAGGGCGCTCATAATCTGTAATGAGAAAAGAGCTAAATTTTGAAATAATGTTTAACTTGACAGCCCCGTTCGGTGTTATTTACACATTTAGCCAAACAATTTTTTGGAGAAATTGTCTTTTTTTAAGTAGAAAACAGTCGATCGGGCAACCCCTCCTATCCTAATCCAGACATACCGTAAATCCTCTAATAAGCCCCCCGAGAGAGCTTATTTATTTCAGGTACTTTTGGGGGAGGAGGCTTATTCGAGGGGAGGGGCTTATTAACTTAGTCAAGCAGCCGAAAGTAAAGAACTCGATTTTATGATCTAATTCTCTCAATGGACCTTGTTTAGCCATGTCTTATTTTTTTGCATCGTTCCGTAATTTCCGTACACCGCAATCTATCGATGCCAACAGATAATATCAATCAATCAATCACCATAATCAATTTTACATGACAAACTAAAATAACAATACTTGAATAAATTTATCGTACTTACCGACATGGAAAGAATTTTGAATTTTTGCTTTTTGAGGTGGAGGGGTCGGGAGGGGGGCTTAATAGAGGGGGGCTTAATAGAGGGGGCTTAATAGAGGGGGGCTTAATAGACGGGGGCGTACTAGAGGGGCTTTAATGAATTTCTTTCTCTGAAGAGGGGAAACTTAAGAGGGGGGTGGCTTATTAGAGGGGGACTTAATGGAGTATTTAAGGTATTAAATTAGCCTGCGTAAGGTCGTCTCAAAGGGTTTCCATCGTAATTTACGTGTAAATGCAAACTCCACTAGATGACGGCCCAGAGTAACGATCTCTCGCCTAGCGAGTCAAACAGGGATAGTGCCCATTTGTTTTGGAATTGCTATAATTTCCCAATATTTCATCATTTAACCCACTGTGATCGTTTAATCTCTGATACCTTACTTTAAAAATTGTGTTCGAATTCTTGCTCCTGTACATTTTCGACCCATAATACCGTGCGAGTATGTGGATACCCTTTAACTACCATGAGTGACCAAAACAGAATTTCTCCATACTGTATCAATACAATATCAAGCAGACAAGTGATGAGAATAAAGAAACATATTAATTAGGGGATTATCAGTTGATCCAATACCAAATTCTCCAAATCTACCTCATAAGAATTGTATGGCAGACTGCAAGGAGAATTATGGTTGGGATCAAAAACAAATGCCATTGTGCACTAAGCTTACCTTGACAATAGATTCCTTTATGTGTCCAATGCCCATCATCACATTTGCTAGAGCTAGGTCCAATGACTCTGAATCCTGGCCTACATTCATATTGACACGTCTGGCCATGCAGAGGCTTCGTTTTGCATATGTAGGGAGTAATTTGCCCATTATCCGGTTCGGTTAGTGGTGGACACTCACTTACTAAAATGAAAACATATTAATGACATCAGCTTTTGAGAGTATTACCTTTCGAAACATCCGATCAATACTTAGTGACGCTTCGCTCTCGATTGTGTTTCAATTATCATATATTTTATTACTATATAATTATTATATATATAGTATTATTCTATAATATATATATATATATATAACCAAAATAGTGGAATGAGATCATCATCTACTAAAAAGTGCTCGATAGCAGGGCTAGAGCTCTGGATAATTATACTTCAAAATCTAGGTTACTTAAGCTTTTACTGCAACTCTGAGTTTCATGCCTCTTGCGAAGCAATCGTCAGGGAACTGCCAGAAATAACGGTTACAATCCACCGAAATGTAAGAGACAGAACAATGTGTACATGCGCGCGCAATATATTACGTTTTCCATGTTACAGCTTCCATCCATGGGGCATATGTCAGGTTTCCTACAGTTGCAGCTTTTCCTAGCTTGATCATTAGTGCGTGCAGTTTCCAGATTTCTGCTTTGTTATGGTTACATATGACAGTTTTAATGCTACCCATGCAGCTGTAGCTCAATTTAAGGGTGTTTCGGTTAAAATTTTTTTGAGGATTAGTTTTGGTGAAATGCTTATCGACAAGTGCAAGGAAGCATTTTCCGACGTTAGTTTCCATGTTCTTGCTATATGGTTTGTTAAACCATATAATGTTTTGGTGCCTGTTTCTTCGTGGACGTGGTGCCTGGTTTGATGCGGCTTTGAATGACAGGGTGTAGCTATACCCACTTTTTTTTAGAGCTTCTTACGAAAACGTAATTTACCAGGCAGAGGTCACCACAGAGACCGCAAAGGAAACATACATTGGTCTCTGTGACACCGCGTTTAAAATGCGTTACAGGAACCTCTTGTGTTCATTCCGAAACAAACGTTACAGGCATGCTACTGAACTTAGTAAATATATATGGAGTCTTAAGGACAAGAACACTAAGTTTAATATTAAGTGGCGCAAGGTGAAACAAGCTGGTTCTTATTGAAATGTAGCTAAGAGATGCAATTTGTGTTTGTGGGAGAAATATTTTATCATTTGTAAACCGCAAATGGCGAGCTTAAACAAGAGAAATGAGCTGACATCATGTTGCAGACATTTCAGGAAATTCCTATTAAAGAAAGTAACGTTACGATAACGCGTGTAGTATATTGCCCGCGCATGTACACATTGTTCTGTCTTTTAAATTTCGGTGGATTGTAACCGTTATTTCTGTCAGTTCCCTGACGATTGCTTCGCAAGAGGCATGAAACTCAGAGTTGCAATAAAAGTTCAAGTAGCCTAGATGTTGAACAT